ACGAGAGTGGACATTGAGCTTTTGTCGTAGTGTTTCTCCAGAATGATCATTATAATGGTATGCATAGGCATTAGATTACAATATCAGGTTATTAGAAAAGAGACTGCATCTGTATGTAGTTTGCCTGTTTGAAGAGACTCTGTAGTCTAATATATCGTTTGCGATTGACCCCAGCTATGGGATCTTGTTCATTCATGTTTGGTAACGGAGCGTGAAGCCGCTGCGTAAAAGTCTAATGGAGCATGTAATGATAAAGCAGACGGCAAGTCAGCTGCCACAAAATACTTGGACACCGAGGTAGCTATTTGAACCTGTGAGGACTGCACCGCCGATTAGTGTGCCAACTAGCAATGCTAATGACACGACTGCAAAGAACACGCCGAGGCGAGTTCCCAGATCTCGGAGATCCTTGGTTAAAGTTGTCATGACGACTGGAGGAAGGGACACGAAGCCTCCGGAAAAAGAAGCCGTAAAAGATGGATAGGACGATGATGCCGGCTGTTGAGTTTACGGCAATCTAGCAGTATGCTAACAGAGCCGTGAGCGAGGCAGACGAAGCCGAGGGCGCGGGTTGCCCAGGGGGAAGCCGGCGGATTGCTGGAGCTTGTAGAAGATGATGGGGTAGATGACGGAGCCGATGCCGTTTGCGAGGGCGCGCTTTTTTTGCGGAAGCATTGGGGGACGAGGGTGATGGGAGGGGGACGAAGAGGCAGCCTGTGTTGATGCTGACGCAGAGGTTATGGGCGAGTATGGTTTGGTAGTACTTGGTGGAGAGGGAGGTCATCATGTAGGAGGAGATGGGATTGGAGGGAGCCGATCCAGGCGATGGAGGAGGGGGAGTGGTTGGGGAGGATGGATTGTTGGTAGAAGGATTGGAAGACGCCGAATGTGTTGATGAGGTCCCTGGGTGGATTGAGGAGGTTGTTAGTGTTGGTTGATGAGTCGGTGAGTGGGATTTGACTGACTAGGAGTTGAACTAGAGGAAGAAGGCGCCTAGGACTTGGAGCCAGGCTTTTATGCCGGTGTCGAAGTCGGGTTTTGAGGGAGGTTGTAGGGGGAGGGTGTTTGGGGGTGTTGCTTGGCTGTGTTTTGTGTCGTCGTGTGCTTTAGATTGCATTTTTAGGGGTTGTGATGATGATGTTTCTGGTGTTTAATCTGTCGTAACTGTGTTGCATGAAGTGATTCACTTTTCCCAACGATTAGGGAAAACTAATTGGAAGAGTAGAGGTCGTATATGATGATGTGATCTGTGTAGACTGAAAGCGACGTTTTTATAAGTGACAGCGCACGAAAAGTATTGTTATGTGACTTATACAGCATTTGAGTCAGAGCTTGTCAATGGATTGCAATATGTAGTAGGTAGCCAACCAAGGTGATGGTCTAATAGACGCCTTTATAACTGAACACGCTTCTGCAACTTTAATTTGTAAACCTTTTTTTCCCTGGCTGAACGCAATCTCTTGTGGATGCAATACCACCTCCGCGATATATCTTGATCCACTGAGTATCCTCTTTCATCCCCCTCATCTGAACTAGCCGGATCACCCTTCCGAGTTAGCCTTCCGAATTACCCAGCCGGAGATTTATTCTTAGTAGTATATGTTTACTCTTACGCTCAATTGATCCGAACTAACCAAGCGGCCGACTTATCCAGCGTTGTGTTGGATTGATTGAGCTCATGATGTCGTAGTGTATAAGTAATAAGGCCCCTGATAGACGAGGGCATTCATGTTGCAACTGCTTCTGTAAACTTATAGAAGATTCTTAGTTTTTTCACGAAGACTTCTGTAAATGAGTCCAAATTATATCAGTTCGATATCAATAAACGAATAAATCACTTTAATTCTGCCCCTCTAGCTGTTTCAAATACTATGCTATCACGCTACCCTTGGATATCTTTTCCTCCAGTGGTGAGCGCTCCTATGGCAGTTCTATCAAGTACCGCCCTTGCAACGGCTGTATCTAGCGCTGGTGGACTAGGGTTTATTGGTCCTGGAATAAAAACACAAGATGCGGCTACTAACCTTGAAGAAGCGTCGTAAATATTGCTCAAAACTCAAGGCTCACCATTTCTCTCTCGAGGGGCAAGCACGTCGTCTCTGCTCCCTGTTGTCGTGGCATTTCTCCTCTGGCGAGATGATGTTAATGAGGCGACTTCTGTCATTGCAAAGTTCAAACCATCTGCGGTGTGACTCTATGCTCCACACGAGCTGAAAGAGTACGAAGATCCGCAGTGTATCCCCCGACACCCTAATATGGATATAGATTGGAACAGTGCTTAAGCTAAAGTAATATCTCAGAGTTTCGAGAAACCAGACGTTATTGTGGTTCAGGGAGCAGAATCTGGCGGCCGTGGAAGACTCGAGGATGGGTTAAGCCTCATAACATTGTTTCCTGAAGTGGCTGATGCGGCAGAGGGCGGCATTATTATTCTGGTTGCTGCAGGAGGAATTGCTGACGGGCGAGGCGTTGCTGCTGCGCTGTCGCTTGGCGCCTCAGGAGTGGCGATGGGAACTAGATTTCTCGCATCAAAGGAAGCTCGTATTGACCAAGGGTACCAGGACGCTGTTATCTAAGCAACTAATGGTGCAGTATCGACAACACGAACCTTGTTTTATAACCACCTCCGAGGGGAATACGGGTGGTCTAGAGCAAGTCCCAGGATGATTATCAACAAGACTTTCACAGTTCATCAAGTAGGAAAGCCATTTGGAGAGCTGAAAGAGATGTATGATGAGGTAGTAGAAGCAGGGGACTCAGGATGGGGGCAACAGGGAAGACGAGCTACATACGCAGGAGCAGCTATTGGACTGATCCACGGAGTCAAATCAGCATCAGATATTGTGCATGATGTCCGAAAGGAGGCATTAGCGACAATTCAGTCACTGTAGGCAGGTGGGGAGTAAGCAGAGCTCAGGACCCGTTTGTTGTCTGTTTGTTGGGCACAAGGGGAATATTACTTCAAGGCACGTACCCGGATTCTCCACACGGATGTCTCGGAAGAGTAATTCAGAATTGGAACTGATTGGTTCAAGCAGACTTCGTGCTTGGTGAATGGCTGGTTGGAATTTAGCTTCTGGGGAAATAGTTGTCTAGAGTCTCAGTCATCGACACCATAGTCATCCATTCTTTTGTGTCTTGTAAGTTTTGTTCGTCACGACGTGATATTAAGGTCATGGTCCTCTAGTTCGAGAATGCAGAAGATCTCAAGATATACTGGTATTTTGATTCTGGGCCGATTATTCTTGCTGCTGAATCACCGCCCATCGTACTCGTCCCGTTGTCGTTCTCTTTGTTCCACAATCACTCGAGTTTAGATACTCACCAATCTCTTCATTGCGACTGATGGGAAGACTAACGCGGCTATGAGGCAGAAAACTTAACCAGTTGAAAAATTACCGAATCATACCGAATCCCCCGTTACTAAGATGTCAAAGAGGCAGGGAGTGCTCTGCGCCTGCGATCAATGCCGCTGAGGAAAGATCAGATGCGACGAAAAGCAGCCTTGCGCTCATTGCATTGTCCATGACAATGCTATAAGAATTACTCACATGACAATACTGAACTCAGTCTCTTATCGAGCATCTTTCAGAGAGATTGAACAAGCGCAAAAGCCCAATCATTCAACCTTCGAATGCGAAAGGGTCCTCAGTGCTAGAACCAGCCTCCAACTTGAGAGAAAAAGACCCAACATCTAATGAGACACCGCGTTCCTCATCATCTAACCGGCCAGGTGCTTACACCTTGACCGGATCAAGCAGCTCAGCTTCTGGTATCGACCCATTAATAGAATTGCCTGTGAATGGACAATATATCCCAGCACAACAACTGAATCATATACATGCGGCGCCATATCAAGTATTTCTACGATTCTCAGCAGATGACCCGTTCGCTTATCCAAGCCATCCCCTTCCTCTCGTGACGACGATGTTTTTCGAAATGGAGCAGTAGAAGCGTCAATGCATCTTCTAAGCGATCATACCATGCATGTTTACGCCCCGCTATCACATGAACATTCCCTCCCGGATGACATGGTCCCGTTTTATAACTTCCTGGGTCCTGCATCCGATGTGGTTTATGCCAATGCTCCATACAACTCCTCTATATAATGGATGTGCAATATCAGTCCATAGTATAGTTGGATAAAGCATTTGTATGATCGGTTGAAAAATCTAGAGACCTTGAGGTAGCATCCGACACTCGTTTCATGGGAATGGGGAGAACACTGGGAAAGAAATGGACTCGGCTCGGGCATCCTTGGTTAGTTTTTGGACAGGATGTCAACTTCTATGCCGCGCCGCTCATAAGCAAACAACTCCTTGGATATAATACACCTCCCGGGATATATTCGGCCTTGATAACTGAGCCGAGACAAATTTGGAGAGTCATTTACAATGCAAGAGAGAGACTCGATTATCGATCATCTGCAAATTCTGTAGACCCGTAAAATGTTTGGAATCAATGCGTCTTGAGGGTGGCCTATGTCGTAGCCTTTGTAGCTGTAGTTAGAAGTTAACCTGTGGAATACTCCCGCAAGGTATGTAACTTTGCCACTCAAGTACTAGTGGAAGAATAGACATCCATGGATCCATTACTAACATTGGTTTTAGAGTACTTCGGCAATCGTGTTCGCGCTAACATGAGATTTCTACTCCGTAAACCCGCCGGTGAGAGTCCGCACCGCATCCCGCAGCTGAACCTCTTCTGGTCAATAACAATATCGCAATTTTGTTGATTTATAAGCCTAAACCGAGAGAAGGGCTGAATAATATAGTTGCGAAACAGAATACGTATACAAGACTTCAAAGATACCGATCTGGCATGATATAAAACGACTGTGTAACGCCATCTACCGATTTAAATAATGAAAGAGCAGAATTGTCCCGGTGAAAAAACAGGTCGGCAACAGTTGAACTGTGTTTACTGACCAGATTGAACATAGACGGACTCTAGACTTAATTCACGACTTCCATACGCCTGTGTCAATTCTTATTTGAATCATGCCTTCGTATCTCATCACCGGCTCAAGTCGAGGTCTGGGCCTTGGCTTTGTGACCGAGTTAGTAAGTCAATCCGATTCCCTTTTCCCCATCCAAAACATAGACACTTACATTGTCTGAAACAGCTCAAAGAAAAGGATAATGTAGTAATCGCAACAGCAAGAAACACGGCAGCGTCGACCGGTCTTCAAGAGCTCAAGGGCAAGCACCGAGGTGGACAGCTGCACCTCATCGATCTGGACGTCACCGACATTCAGAGCATTCGAAGAGCCGCTGAGGAAACGAGCCGTCTGTTGCCAGGAGGCTTAGACAACCTAGTCAGCAACGCAGGCGTGAATTCTAACCCGTTGACTTCATTTGAGGATCTGTTTGTCTCCCCCACACCTCCGTGCCCTGCGTCTGTCCGTCTATTAATGGCAATACAGTGTCGTCAAAGAATTTATCGACGAGGTCAACTTCAATCTAACCGGCACTCTGCTGCTCTTGCGTGAATTTGTCCCATTGGTTCGCAAAAGCGTGGCCAAGAAGGTGCTCGTCATCTCGTCGGTGTTAGGCTCAACTGAGCTCGGCGCGAGCATGCCAAATCTACAAAATGCATACTCGATCGGCAAAGCTGCTTTAAATATGTAAGTCTATGGATATAGTCAGCAAAATACAAGAAGTACCACTGATGGCATCTAAGGATGGTGCGCAAGTGGAGTGCAGTCCTTAAGGACCAGGGCATAACCACTGTTCTGCTTCATTCAGGTAATCCGCGACTTTCAATACATGGTACTACAAAACTAAGCTTGTTATAGGTTATTCCGCTTTTACTGAGGTTGGAAGCGGAATTGAAGAGTGGATGAAGACATACGCCCCAAACGTCCCACGCCAAACCATCGAAGAATGTGCTGAAAGCTCCATGAAAGTGCTTGCAGGCATTACTCCAGAGGATAATGGCCTGTTTTATAATTATGATGGGACAAAGCTGCCCTGGTAGCATTGGTGGATTATGGTTATAATCTCATCGGAAATAGCTCCCGTAGGCTTAGCTTACTTGTCGGCAACGCAGTCGTGCCTCATGCAGGATGATTATTGTATACGGACAATCAACTCTTCGTACTCTTCACTTGGAAATTTATTTTGTGATAATTGGGACATCTGGTCAAATTTGGCTAATCCGGAGACATTGTCAAGGTGCGAGACAGACAATCAGTATATTTGACTTTGTATGCTCCCTCTTTAGCTATATTGTAAACGCTCATTTGTCCTCATGCTTTCTCGTGTGTCTTATCCATGTATCCGTGTCCACATTTTAACCACCACCGCTCTGTCCGTTGGAAATAACCAGGCGAATGACTCCGTCGGTGCTGATCAAGATCGGGCTGCCAAAACCACCAGAGGTAGCAAGGCATTGAGAAATGAAACCGGGAAATGCCTGTTGCACTGAATCTTCGTTGAAAGTGACAGCCTTTCCATCTGCAAAGGCACCAATGAAGGCCTCACATTTTCCAACCAATACAGAGACAGCCGATTCTTGGGCACCACCCGTTGCGGCGGGAATGCTGCAGACACCTCCGGAACAGTTTGCGCCTAGCAATTGAGCAACTGCCGTGTTGCAATCGGCGGCGTTGATGTTGTTTAGTTTGCCGCTACCGCACTGAGGTGCTCCGAAGGACAATTCGCCCAAAGATGTTTGAGCGGTTACGGCGTTTGCCAAAAGGCCGGCGACCAGCGCGATGGTTGCCTGCGCCTTCATGGTAGGCGGATTCGTTGGTAGAGTAAAGAAGAACAGTTTGCTGCTGGTACTTGTGGTGATGATGAGAGTGGGAGTGATGAGGATATAACTCTTAAGACGAGGAGGAAACTATCTCTGTATTTATATCCATTCATCATAGCTTCAGATACTCATCATCTCCGCATTTCTTGTATAAGTCAATGTTTTGTCATACACCATCCCACTCAGTATGAGCACTCAATTGTCCCCAACAATATCCACGTGCCCTACGTTTAGGCAGCCGGTATCTTCGTCGAGGTTTCTCATTCCGGTCAAATAAATGATTACAAGCGAGTAGAGTGTAGTACGCTGACAGCCCCATGATAGCGCCGACGATCGTCCCTTGCACCTTGCTGGCATCGGGACAACTTCGATCCCCCTGGTATGCCCCCGGATTTTGCTGCCGATGAGCCCAACTACGCCCGTTTTGCTGGGAGTAAGCGGCGAATTTATTATCCCGCAACAGCATTAGCAAGATCGGACCCAATAAACAAGGAGATTACAAAGTATTCGGGTGCATTATTCTCTCCTTCTCGAGCACGGGAGTTGGTTGATGAGCGCATGGAATAGGACTAATTCTTCGAACAGGCTCACGCTAGACCCACTGCTAGAATCGTTTCATGCTCTTATTCAAGCTTGACAACCCCCTGCTGCTGTATACATACATACAAGATGCTGTATGGGGTGTGTTGCCCCTTGAGTATGACATATTATTATAATCCACCCGGCAATCCAGCCGAAAGCAAGGACAGCGAATATTTTTTATTCTATTTTTGACATTTTTGCAAGCAAGACACCATTTGTACTCATAATTCAACATGCACAGCAGATCCGCAATGATAACGTATATTCGCAGAAAATAGTATCAGATTCGAGCCTAGCGGTGTAAGCATAACGACCTTCTCTACTAGTCAACCGATCGGAAAATTAGGCAGGCTTGCCAAGCTTCAACATGGCTCAGAGCGGAGTTACATCACTCGCTGAAAGCTGGGGGAACTTCTTTGGTCTGAAGCTCCTGGGAACTGATTGAAGAGCCAGCACCCAAGGCTATGAAGCTCTACAATCATGGTCGACCAATCCCCAAGACCCATACGAGTATCGCCGCTCCTGTAGCAACCACAGCAGCCAGAATAGCTGCTGGTGGCATCAAAGTACCCAACATCGCCATGCTGGTGAGCGTCGCAAATATTCCTCCGGCTGGGGTAAAGGCTCCATACATGAACGACTGAAACGCAGCGGCGAGTGTTCCTGGACGTCGGTTAGATGCCTGTACACCGCAATTCCTAGGGATCCTTGGAGGAGAGAGGACCACATACCTGCACCAATCCCAACTGGGCCGAAGCCCAAGCACATAATCAGGGTACAGACTGCCGTAAACGTGACAGCCCATGCCATAATGATGGCAAGGATTTCTTTCGTTAACTCCCCGTTAGCATTCTATTGAGCGAGGGTCCGCCGGAACTCACGAGGCTGAGAGAGCCATTCAATCAGCGTATTGAACAGGTCGGCCAGGCTCTGTAGGCCATGACTCGAGTCGATAGGGAAAGGTGCCATGGCTGGTTCAAGTGATGGAAGAATATCCACTGCGTAGGACTTGTGTCTGTGAAGGAAAGAATTGCTGATGGATCGCTTGAAAGATGCAAAGGATGAGTGCACCAGATGACTGACGCTGACTGCTGCCCAAATGTCCACGGTAAAAATTAAGGCTTTTGTAAAAAGAAAGCAAGGCGATAAGTGTAACCAATCAGATTGTACATGCCACTTCTGTTTTTCCGATGCAAGGGAGAGCCTTGTGTCCCGTCAATGTGCTCCTTTAGGTTCCGAGCCGGGCACCAATGCATCACCAGCACAGGTCAGTGAATGATAGCGAGGGCATTATTGGACAGCCATCGTGTTTATTGAACAGACATAAACACGCGCGTGAATGTGCTTTATGCGGGGCATTAACTAATTGTAGCTTCCTATGTTGTATCACCGGCGCGTGTTAATGGCTTTGACGGAGTAACGGTCAATTGTAGAGGTGACTACATACCCAGGCACTATTGGCGTCCTACCCTGTTTCTTTTTGTATAGCAACAGAATAACATAGCACGAAGACATTCCTGATGGCGAGCTAGACTCTAGATGTGCTAATTAAGAGCCATCGTAAGATAATGATAAAATATGCTGGAGATTGTTCTTCGCTCTATCAATGGAGGTCTATCTGTAATATAGATACATGAAGTTGACTCATCTCTCGTATCTATTTATTTGAGGGCGGCAAAGTTGCTCTCCCAGCCGTCGATGTTTAGTCGCAATTGTCCCGGGTTCGCCAAAATCTTCTCTTTGGCCGCAATCAACCCTTCAACGTCCCAATTGGCCCAGATGAAACGACCAGCGAGGAAGTCTGATTCGGGGCTAGCAAGCCAGACCGCAAAGTTGGCCATCAGCTCTGGTGAGTCCGTTGGCGGGAAACCCGCCGCATTGGCCTTGTCGGCAATCTCGCTCTGAACCATGCCAGGGCTAACGTTGAATGCCTTGATGTTGGGGTTCTCCTGCTGCAGGAACTCTACCACTGAAGCGGTAGCCATCTTGGAGGACACATAGCCGCTCATGGGGCTGGAGAAACCAGGACCGACGTTGATTGCGCCAGTGTTGACACCGATGAAAACAGGCTTCCCTCTAGGTGGCTGCGACTGGTTGATGAAGTATTTGCCGAGAAGATAGGTGCCCAGGACATTGATTTCATACCCCTTCCACCATTCGCCAGTTTCGGTAGTTGCGAGTTTACCAGGCAAAGATAGGTATGCAGCGTTGGCGACTAAAATATCGAGGAAGCTGGTCTTATTGATAGTTTCGAACAGAGCCTTGACTTCATTCTCTTTGGAAATGTCAGTTTGGATGGCGTGGAACTTGGTCTGCGGGTACGCCTTTGAGAGCTGCGATGCGTTAGTTCAGGGCCTGCAAAGGAACATGAAGGTGCCAATGACCTTTTGCTCAACGGCTTGAAGAAGGTTGAGTCGTCTTCCAACGAAAAAGACGTGATCAGCCTTGGCTTTTCCAAAGGCTTCCACAGTCGCAGCTCCAATGGCTGTGCCACCTCCCGTGACGAGAACGGTTTTGCCTGCTACCGAAAGATGCTTTTGAGTAGGATCAACCACTGGAGTAGGGTTGTTGTGGTATTTGGCGGTGGGGTTTGGCATACTCATTGTGACTCGGTGTTTATATATGCTTATAATTAAACTCAGAAATTTGTTTAGTCAAGTTCTTGTCTTGTAATTGTGATGAGGGAATGGTTAGGTAGCTGTTCGGAGAGTTGGGAGAGGCTTGCATTTTATATCCTTCGAGATATCCACGATACGTACTTCCTATTACCCACATCGCGCATAGTAAAAGGCGCATATCCTGATCCTTCAAGTTTCCATGTACAACAACTATGCCCAATCCGTCGGTTGGCCAAAGATGTCCCATCTGTTGGTCGTCTACAAGCAGTCCATGGATGGCTACAACTTGGGCTGCTCCACCGAGAGGTGTTCGGTCAAGAGCCATTGTCCTTTCTTGATTTCAAATCGGGAGGCACATCGTCATTTCGAGATTAGAATGTCATAAAATTCATGAAGGCGGAATTACACAAACTTAACCAACAATGATTGGAGGTAAATACATCGGACTCCCATCGGAGCTCAACGGATCACTCCGGAGCACACAACCCCGGACCTTGTGGGATCTCCTTTGCTTCAGCCGCTTTGCGCCGCTTTGTATCGCTTTGTGGAGAATTTGTTCGTATTCCGTAGAGTTGATTGGCTCATGATGCTTGCCGGCAACAATCCGCGAATAATTATCAAGCAGACTGGTGTGGCCTTGAAATATGGGGCATATTCTTGTCTTCAAAGTTGCCATGATAGTAGTAACTGATTCTTTTTAAAACAACTTCTTTGTGATTTATCAGCATCATTATTCCGTATAGCACTTGTTAATTCCTTCGACTTCACGTGAGTAGCCTCAAATATCCGGCTTCAAGTTTGGGACTGGGTCCCGTAGCGAATTGGCGTGGAGCATCTAGTAATTCTGTTTCTTGCTTATACTGTACTATTCCCATCTACTATTTTGGGGACTCTGTTTCTAGATTGTGTACAGATAGATTAATTTAGCACGAGTGGAAATTAGTCGAGAAAAATAGCCTCCTTTGCCATGTTTTCTAGAACTGTGTTTTTCTGAAAGTTACATGTAGTATAATACTTTTGCTTGCACTGGACGTATTGTTAGAGCTAGATGGACTATTTTCGGTAGGCTTTTACACTTGGCTCAGTTGAGGAATATACGAATTCCCCATAAACAACTGGTTAGAGAAGGTGTCCTTGTTGACAGAAGTAAACAGGATACATTTAAAATATTCCAACTTGTTCGACAAGATAACATGATGGTAAGCGTCCTTTGTAGTTTATATATTCAAAAGCTGCAGCTGTGGCGATATACGAGACGAGCTTGATATGGAGGACAATACCAGTATTTTAGTAGCTGTAGAAACAATAGCCGAACAAATATTTCCATCTTTTATCCCTATTGTTGTAGTTGTTTGTTTTGGGAATCTGAGTTCTCGTCAGTTTTGGCCTGTTCGCCCTGATCGGACAGATCTCCCATCACAGTTATCTCCTCATCACCCCATCCATCGCGAGTGTCTTTTGGGATGCGAATAAAGATAATAGCGATAATAATCGATAATCCAGCAAGTCCTATTCCCAGATACAAGGCATGTCGATATCCATCCCCGATATTGGCGCCGTGATTGTTGGTATAAGCTTCGACAGTGCCGGCGAATCCAATGCCTGTGCTTTGACCGTAGGCTACCAGAGTGCCAATCAAAGAACCGGCAATTCCCTGTTGATGTTTCTTTACAGTATTGCTTGCGATGATTTGTGACGCTGCGAAGAGAAAGTCAGGCCCGTAACTGAGAATGGTGATGGCCGGAAACATCTGGGGCCAGTATTGCTGCTGATCAGGCATTGTAGCAGCGAGAATGCACGCAACCATGGTGCATGCACTGCCTATCACCAGGATATATTGAGCGTCTAAGAGTGGTACGACCAAGCCACTGACTATGGCGGCTGTCGTTCCTCCAATTGCCAGAGGAACAAAAGTAGCAGCACAGAGCAAAGTCGAGTATCCCCGCAGAGTCACATTCCATGTATTGCAATACCATACCAAGATGCCGACTGCCATGAACGAAATGAATGATGCCAACAACATTGGACTGATTGACTTTGCTGTCCATATATCGAGAGGCAAGATTGGGTCTGCTGCGTATCGGGCTTCCCAGAGAATGAATGCGGTAAGATGAGCAACTGCAGCGATCAGCAGAGCGTACTCATACGGCTCCTGCCAACCAACGAATGGAGCTTGACTATTGATGGGTGTCAACTGGTGAAGACGGAATATGCTTTGGGGAGAGATGAGAGATAGATACTAACTTCCAAACAAAATTGAACAGTATGAGGCCGGCGACTCCAAGATAGCACCCAATGTAGTCAACACGTCCTTGTTTATCCAAAGGTTCAGTCTCGCCGGGGACAACGAATATGACGAGTGCGGTCACAAGGACACCCACGATAGCGCTATCATAACAAATCAGATATGCATTTGAGCGAGTGAATATACTTCGGACATACTTACAGCGCAAAAAACATATACTTCCACGGTGTTAATTGAGCCAAAAGACCTGCGAATACACAGCCCACCGAAGCGCCAATCGGGGCCATTGCTCCGAAGAAGCCAACGCTCAGATTTCGAAGTCTTCCAGGAGGGAAGTTGATGGTTAATAATGAAATGGCATTTGGTACCATAAAAGCGCCTCCAACTCCAGTCAACGCTCGGAGCGCAATCAGCGCGACAATGTCGTGGGAAAAGCCTGAACCCAATGAGAATATTGACCACCACAGACATGCTGCGACAAGCACATTTTTATGACCATAGATGGCACCGATACGGCCGCCTATTAAGACGAAAGCGCCTTGCGTTAGGCTTGAGGCAGCATTAATTGATGAACTTGCATCTTGACAAGATTTTGGGTTGAATTGCACCTACGGGTACGAAGCTGCGATCCAGCTTGCCTTGTTCGGTGAGTTGAGGTCTCTGGCAATGATGTTGGAGGCGAGAATCCCGGCGCCAAATGGAATCATCTAAGAACTTGTTTAGCAATAAGTTCGAAATGAAATCGTGGGTATAATTCTGTTCCCACAAACCTGAACAAGCTGTGTAGCGATAATAGATGCTGAGATCGCCACTGCTCGCGCTGAGCTTGGCTTAGCCTTAGCCATGTCTTGCATGTCCATCTCATCAACGGATGGCAATGTTTAAAGGCGTTAACAATGGAGTGTTTCGCAGTTCTTGAATTAGACAATCTGTAATTGACTTGGAGTAGTTTGAAAACTTACGGCAGTGAAAAGGGGAGATTTTCAACGCCAATAGCAGCAACAGCAGCGCTATTGTTACACGTCAGATCACTTTCAATCCCACCTCGTATCTTTGCTCGTCAGGCTTCATGCACTCTATTATTAATCCATGGATCGGAAGAAGTCCCACGAGATGGGATTATGGCCAAAGTGGCCAGTGTCTGGATCGGGGGGGATCATGTGGGCTTCTCCACGTTGATATTGTTTTGGTGCATATTTTGTGCTTATCTCCAAGCCTTATGGCTTTTTGAACAATAGGGAAAATTTGTCCCTGATGTTATATAAGTTAGCCAATAGCAGTCGATTGATACATGATCCGGTCATACCCACGTGGGCGTGAGAACACATTTGCCATCTACGATGTAAACATACATTCTCCATCGACGATATGGCTCAAACGTTTTACATACAAAACTGCCTATGAATTGAAAGTATATATCAATATAGATAATACAGAGCTCCAGTGCACTCAATTTACGAGAATAATTTGTAAGCCTAATAGATATTGAAGTGTTGCTTCGCAAGTAGAAACTTTCCCATTCTTCGAACTGCCCTACTAGAAACTGACCGCCCCGCAGAAAGTTTCACCGAAGACAGGCATGTTGTCGTCGACAATTTGTCATCCCTAGCTAGATCAGGCTAGCGGACAGGGGAATAGTTGCCATATTATTCGAATAAACCACTCGCATGTTAGCATTAGAGTTTCCTATCCTTAGTCAAGATATCCGAGCGAATGCCAGCTGGACATGCCTAGTACCGGATCAACGCTTAAATACTAGCTGGGCCAGACTCAAAATGATAATAAAAGCCGTTGGGTTTCCAGATTAGTACAGACAACATGCTTTACTACCATCTACCGATTTCTCTATGATAATACTTGTACTGCATATCCCTACCATACCGAGTACAGGAGAGGAACAGGACGACTAGTATCAGCACTATAACTGAAAGAGAGTAATAAAACCACCGAAACCAAACGCAAGCGTAAAGGCTACTACCCTATTACATTCCCCAGTCCCAATCGAACTGCAACCAAGCCTAGCCGCTGGTGTTACTGACGTGGTGGCGTGCTGAATTCAAGCCTCAGCTGACCATCGCCGAGGCGAGTAACCTGGCCGCAGTTGTCCTCGGAATATGTGATACTGTGGCCTATGGTGCTCTTTGATCTTTATCTCCCACGTAGCTTAAGCCTAAATTGACTGGGACGTCTCAGAGTTGCTTTTATCTATCATATATTCCAAACAACCCATAAACGTTGATGGTGCCTGATCCCTATGGATTATAGACTTGCTTTAAAACTTTGCTTCAACCATGCAAGACATACTGGCAAACATGGTGGGCAAAGAATAGTACTCTGAAAACTAGAGACCCAGTGATTCTCAGTGACTTACAGGCTCTCAATCGTTGATTTGTTGAGCAAAGCCTTGTGAAGATAGGCGGTTTATCAGGCCGATCCCTGACTGATTTATGTTCAGACCTCCATTTTGTATACATGTCAGAGTTCTTACCTCTCCTGTATAAACACCGAACTAAGGCCATGAGATTATGATAGGGCAGATTGTCGGATTCAGTACACAAGATACATTTATTTTATCCCACATTCCAAATGGGTTGAATAGCAAAATTCTAATCTCGTAATCAAAGTAAAATCTATATGCTACAGCGTTAGATATATACCTCTATATAATAAAAGAAAAACGTTACAGTTCACTGATAATTACCCGAACAGAGCACAAACATTAGGTAGATAATCATTATCATAATTGCAGTGATTATAATACTAGAATCAACTATTCACCAAGGGTCTTGTTGTTACGGCGGATCAGATTGGAATACGAATATTGAGGTTTTAGGGGTCTAAAAGTAGGTGTATTTTTGATCAATTCAGCTTTACAAGCCTTTTGGGGCTATCAAGAAGAACTGCCAATTAAACTTCCTATAACTCATGATAAAGTTGGGTCACTATGCTGTGATATATTGCGCTTACTACTATATGTTCATAGAGCCAGCTTCACTTTTCTGCACAGTATTAATCTGTACTCTCCAAAACAAGGCTATCGACGAAAAAGGCGGGAAGCTTTCCTCCCTGCTGAGTGTCCTCATCCGGAAGCACTACGTCAACCTCAAGAAATTGATACTCGACGCCATTTGAAGTAGCGCTGACGTGATAAGGACCCCATCCATCGGTTGCAGTGTGGAAATCAAACGCATGGCTAATGTCGACATTGCCAAAATCAGAAAACAAAGTAGAAACTCTAACAGTTACATTGCTCGAATTACGCTTGAGATAGGTTAGCATATGTAGTCTTGGCATGGAGCTTAAACATGGTTTACCTCAGCGTCTGTAAAGACGGGCCATATATCAAACGATGCCTCGTTTATCAACGATACACCTATACCAGCGAAAATCTGGGCGTCAAGCATTGCGCTGATAAATAACACGTTGGAAGGCGAGGATGCTCGACCAAACAAGGCTAAACTTGTTTTCTCGTCTATGAAAGAATTGCAAGCTGGGGTTTTAGTGGCATTGAGAACCCTAGCTGTGCCAAAAGCATCTGAAACAAGTATATCCTGGAACTTATCAGCTTTAATTGAGATAATGAGTAAACTCAGGGGTTACTCACATGATAGGTAGTAAACGCATCGAGGGTTGAATTAGCACACCCATTGTCGTTTGAGATGGCGATATCATCAAACTACCAGCTGATCAAAATAAATCCAATAATTCAAGCCAAAAAGCAAACCTACATTGAGGATGAGCTGCTTGCAATAAGCTGCGACTGCCATAAGAGCAGCAGAACTCAGGATGCGAAGTGAAAACAGCATATTTGCGGAACGAAATGAGTCGAGCGTATGAGTATGCCTAGTTTGAATACATGTAGATATGTTGGCAAACTAGAGGAGAATAAGGATGAGATATATATCATGAGAAAGGTCGTGGTGGGCATTAATTTTCTTGAATTGACCTTCCTAATTGGTACTTCACCACTTACATTACACTAAATATTTGAAACTACGGTTATTCTATAACTCGACCATTGCGGTTACTAGGGTCGGAGATACGGGCCAAGTAAATCCCCCTGTGGAACGACGGCGATTTTCGTCGCCGGCAATTGCTATGTTCGATTGAATAGAGGTCTTTATTGTCTTGGAGTAGCAAGTTTGACTCTACGAATCCGTATGTCAATAATTGGCATTGTTTGCTTCTGTATAGACACCAACTAATTCAGTATTACCAGCGCTCTTTGTAGCCACAGCTACTGGCTACTGGTTAGGGGTTTGGTTATAAAAGCGCACTGGCACTCTAGATTACGAGTGATTACGGAGAACAACTCCACTTGTTGCATACAAATTATTTCATATTGATCACTGTTGAGTACCGACGGAATGTTTGATTCCATTGTAACGGTGTAATCAATATACCCGACAATGTAACCTTTCAACAATCTAAGCATATTCGTAATGAGCTTATTATAGCCTACCTAGTTAAGATCTGAATTGTTTCATGGGGGCCTGCCTTAAGTACTCATTACCGAGAATATATATGATAGTTAGCCTCGGTGGTGTGTCAAATCTTGCCCCCTAGCCAGTCTAACTAAATGCATTTGTATAAAACAGTATAAGCTGTTTAGTTTATGTATTAAAGACGAGAGGTTAATCAGCACGCATCAAACGAAGCATTTATCTATGTTCACAAATTTTTTCGTTATTACAATATTTTCAAATTTCTATTGATTAATCAAGTTGAATTCAATTGTTATAGGAATAGGCACCAAAAATCTGCCTCTAGAGTTCTATGAAATATCTGCAGCTTTAACCTAACGAGTAGGCATTTTCGATATTATGTTCAGATTTAACACTAGCTTTTTTTTTTTAAAAAAAATTGTGCTGGTATGTATTCTGCTATCTTGCCACTCCCTTTAAAACTTTGTCTATGTCAGTTCGCTTTATACATTATTGATGTTCCGTAATATTAACCAAATTGCCTTGTTTTTGTTGTAGTAGTGCCAGCATCTCATCCCGGTAGAAATGCCTCTTGTTTGTGGCTTCAATAATACCTTCTGTAACGTTGATCTTATTTCCCGCCCTGTTAAGCAGCAGTGATAGTATTTGAAGCCCATAAAGCTCATTTCTCACTGCCGCCTGGAGAATGCCTTCTGTAATGTTAATCTTCCCCCCCCGCTTGTTAAGCAGTAGTGACACTATTTCTAGCCCATGAAACTGACTTCCGACTGCTATCTGGATAATATCTTCGGTAATGTTAATCTCCCCCCCCCCCTCTTATCAAGCAGTAGTAACACTATTTCTAGCCCATAAATATAACTTCTAACTGCTGTTTGGATAATATCTTCTGTAATGTCAATCTCATACCCTCGCCTGTCAAGCAATAAAGACATCATTTCCAGCACATTTCCATGTTCAGCCGCTGCTAAAGTCTTAATAATATCTTCTGTGATTTTGAACTCATGCCCTCGTTTGTCGAGTAGTAGAGACACTATCTCTTCAGCCTCGTTGGCCACTGCGGCTTTGACGACATCTTCTGTAATTTTGAACTCGTGCCCACGCCTATCAAGTAGCAAAGATATTATTTGCGGCCCAACGTCACCTCGATTTCCTACGGCGGCCTTGATAATATCTTCCGTAATATTAATCTCGTGCCCTCGTTTATCAAGCAGTAGAGACACTACCCCTTCCGTATTCTCGTTGGCCACTGCAGCTTTGACGACATCTTCTGTAATGTTGAATTCGTGCCCACGCTTGTTAAGAAGGAGTGACGTTATTTCCAGTCCATGGCGCCTATTTCCCACTGCTGCTTTGACGACATCTTCTGTAATGTTGAATTTGTGCCCACGCTTGTTAAGAAGGAGTGACGTTATTTCCAGTCCATGGCGCCTATTTCTCACTGCTGCTTTGATGACATATTCTGTAATATTAAATTCGTGCCCACGCCTCTCAAGTAGCAAAGATATTATTTGCGGCCCAACGTCACCTCGATTTCCTGCGGCGGCCTTGACAATATCTTCCGTAATTTTAAACTCGTGCCCACGCCTATTAAGCAGCAATGACGTTATTTCTAGCCCATACTGCCGATTTCTCACTGCAGCCTTGACTATATATTTTGTAGCGTTAAACTCGTGCTCACGCTTGTCAAGTAGCATCGAGGTTATCACTAGCCCGTGACACCGATCTCCTACTGCAGCCTTGATGATACCTCTTGTAATATTATATTTCTGTCCATACCGATCGAGCATTAAACATATTATTTTTGGCTCATATGCCTCATTCCCTATTGCAGCCTTGACCATGTCTTCTGTGATTGCAATACTATGCCCGCGCTTTTCAAATAGCAACCGCATTATCTCCGAACCCCCAAAGAGGTTTTTTGCTGCAGCTCGAACCATTTCATCTGTAATGTGAATTCCATTGGAATGATCCAAAATTAGATCGAAGGTTTCAGAGTATTCTGTGCCCATTGCCTCCTTGAGGATTGCTTCTGTGATCTTGACCTCGTGACCGCGTCGTTGGAGAAGCAGAGCAAGCACATCTCTCTCATTGTGTGTCACGGACTCCATGATAGCTTCTGTGATCTGAAACTCGTTATCAAGCTCGTCCAAAAGCAGAGACATGGTCTCGGCCGACCCATCACGAGCCGCCCGCCGGACCACTTCTTCTGTGATTTTGATTTCGTCGCCACGCCTCTTGAGCAAAAACGCCAACATTGCTGCCCCACACTTTCTGTTGTTCACTACCTCGCACAGAAACAGGTCGTCAATTTCGATTTCACTGCCACGTTTATCCAGAAGCAAGTTCATCATCGCTTCTGCGTCAAAGTAACGGTTCAGAGCCATGGAAATATCATAACGCTCAATCTTTAGCCCATGCGCAGGATCTAAGAGGATTTCCATTATGTCTAAATCGCCATTATCTATGGCTATATTAAGCGGCTTGTATACATACAGTCCTCTGGCATTGACGTCGACGTTTTCATGCACCAAGACGTAATATACAACTGCAGCCAGGCGCAATTGGATCAAAAGAAGTAAATCTGGCCCTGTTTTGCTCATCGCCTGGTGATGACCCCGACGCTGCTTGAGCCAAAATTGGGTCTGTGGCGAAGATGTGCGACAAAGCTCACGTGCAGATTTTAGAAGCATTTCAGCAGGGGCTGCATCTTGTAATCGAAAATGGTAATCCCAGAAGTCAGCAGCATAAGACAAGAGGGGGTATTCGTCCTTGGGCGATTTGCATGAAGGATTGAGTATCTGTAAATAATTGATACACGTTGCAGATAAGATGCCGTGAGACTTTGACAAGGTCAACCGACCCTTCCATTTCCCAGGCTGCTCACGAGAGACCAAAAATTCTCTTGCCGTCAAGTGGATGAAAAATAGTTTCGAGTCGTGGATGCTGATAAAGAGGCCACACAAATTCTGAACTGTTGCCTTGAAACTGCCTTGTGGCCACAATTTTTCTTCCAGTCCCGCATACGTTGAAAACCCTCCCTCTTCCACGGCGAGTGCGAGAGCACTATTGGCCTCGACTAGAGTCAGCGGGCGTCTCGCAGCTAAAACAATCTGTAGCAAGGCCTCGACTTTCCGGTTATCCTGGCTTTGGGAAAGCATTTTCTCATATGCGTCGGCCACGTTGGAAGGCAGTTTACCCAGAAACTCCTCTATGTCGGCACTTCTACCATATGCACTCCTCTTTTTCTCAATGATGGCCAACGTCAGGTGTAGCCAGAGATATGTCCGGTTCTCCATGCTCTTTAGGCGCTCTGAAATTGTGTTGCGTTCATTATCCGAGAAGGCGCTCGCAATGTTTTTTATTTTGAAATCAATTACAAGATTTATTTCTTCCCCAATCTGGTGAGATTTCTCATCGCCGTCAAAATGCAAATACGTTGCAATTGATAGAAGCTTGTCGAATGACCATTTTAGATCATCGTACGGGCGGCTGGTTATCAAGAACTTCAATCTCGAAGGCTTCAACAGCACACCCTGCTGAGAGTATGACTTCTCAACCATAAGCAGTAAGTCATGTGCGCTCTCTCTCCGGCACTCGTCCAGGGCATCGAGTACGCAAATAATGTCTGCCGATGAAAATTTTGCGCACTCGATCAATATTTGCCACAACTCCGCCATCTTTTCCGTTAGAGTCTTTCCGTTATTCCTGTGGCTTGGAAGGGCATAAGTGATAAGATTGGCAGTCAAAGGGTGCTGGAACAGCTGGTGTAATATTGCACACAGCGCGTGAGCGCCGTCCATGCGCCCTTCACCCCCTTCTTTGAAAAAGAAGTAGCAGATGACTGATTCTCTCTGTGAGGCCTTGATAGTTGATGACTCAATAGTAATCATAGAATCCGGGGTTAGATGGCCTTCGTCGATGAGGCATCTCGAGAGCACTGATTTTCCACATCCGGGACCCGCAGACACCCATAGAAGCTCTCCAGTTTGACTAGCCCGCCATTTGGAAAACCGATCATCTGCCAAAAACCACTCACAAGTTCCGGGGACTCTCTCTGGGTTGATATCCTTATATCCTGCGTAGTTCCCTGACGCTTGTGCGAAATCTTCAAGGAATTTTCGCTCTACCTCGTCCTGCTTATTGTTTTTGAAATCTTTAAGAATCTCCTCTTGAAGAATCACCTGTTTCTGGATTGCCTGCAGCTGATTCTTGCTATTTAAGTAGATTTCCTCTTTTTGTCCTTGAGCGATATGTTCGAGGCAAGTCCGTTTTATATTTTGGGTTGGCTGTATTATTTCACTCCAGCCATCGGACCCAATCACGCTCTGTACAGCGCGCGAAACCGATGGATGACCTATGTGACATATGGCTCGAGCCTGATATTCGATTATGTAGGAGTATAACTCAGCCAAGGCATATCTCAGATTGTTGTAAAGTTGTAAGTTCGATGATGTGAGATAAGTCTCTTCGCATGCCTTCCCAAATATTTGCATGTCGTTGAGTGTATTGAAACCTTTCAGCATCGTCTTACTGTAAGTTCGGGTATTCGCGAGAAGCTATGATGGTTGGTGAATATTCACTGCATACTCTCAATATTCACTTATGACTTACTGAGAGAAAAATTGAGACACCAGACCATGCCAAAGCATCATGGGGTTGAGACTTTGATGCTGTCTTGACAATTGTGTCTGACCAAACAAGGAACTTTGCAAGTTTCTCGATTTCTTGTCGCACCCCGCTATTTGCCCTCGGTAACACGACACGAAATTTATCCTTTTCTCGAATCTCAATCAAACGGCTCACGATGGACTTGACATAAAGAGGGCTCAAAAGGTCTCTCTCAGGCATTGGAGGACCATTAACAAATAGTGTATCCAAAAACTTCGTATAATCGTCCATCAATTTTGCCTCTCGCTCCTGGACCAACTTGTAGGCACAAATCCAGAGATCGACGTTATCGGTGGAACGTCTACCCAGAAGTACGGCCATTGACGTCCTGAGTGCATTTGGGATTTCATTGAAAATGTTGTAAATTGACTTCTGAAAAATGCTCAACTGAACTCCGATATTGTGCTGCTTAGACCCGCCCGACGCATTGTTGTTGTAAGCCATGATAGTTCAATAGGTTGATTGGGACCTGGATGCTGGTTTCTCTATACAAGGGTACAGAATTAGAGAAATGTGCCCATTCTCGATTCCAGAGTAAGAACTCAATGTTCACTGTAATGCCAATGTGCAACGTTATTACGACGTTCATCTGCGCACGTAGACTCGGAATTATTGTGGAGTTTATGCAGCAGAGCCTCAATAATAGATCAACCTGACACAATGCCTGCAAGGCTGCCTAAATGCATTGCTTTGTTGGCAACTGCATCATCTGAAATGCGGCGTATCTATCCAACCAATTACAGCTCCTAGACACATTCTCGGCTGCATAGGATAACTCTATGAAACCGCGATACTCACCGATCTCATTGGGCCACGTATCTAGATAAAACATCGCTTCATTTCGGTGTGGGCTGACGTGGCTGTCTGTCTGATGCAGTAGGGAGATGCAGTTGTGCCTAGTCTTTAGGGCAAATTGTCGCTTGAGGAAGGCACTTTGTCGACGAAATTTGCCTAATCGTTTGAACCTGGATTTAGTGGTATGATATTTTTAGGAAACCGCACTTTGGGTTTGTGGAACCATGAGAAGATGTTGACAGAGCACATATGTAAGGGCAAAAGCCATGGATCTCCAAATAATTCGCGCCGTAGCATCTCGCTATTGGAGACCCAAGTGGCGGTATTTGTAAATAGTATCCATATGCTTCTGTACCTAGGAAACGTAAACTTTTGCAAAAATCACATTGCTATAGTTATGTACTTTTGATAGGGGGTAGCGTTGTCTTAAACATTCAGAATACCAAGCGAGGATGAACCATAGGTTTTTACATTTTTATTTACTTACCGATAGTTGCCTGGTATCACAGAGGATAAAACTTGTTTGTCCACACTGTTGGCATATCCTTTTATCAATCTTTTCCTTTTTGACATCGGACTGTGAGCAAAGAACAATGCTGTATCTTCTTTTACAGTTTCCTCTATTGAATGTTACTATCAACGTTCAGAAGGCGTCTTAGCAATGTCTTGTCGAGGACCACCCAGACGCGAAGATTTCGAGATTGCGCTGGTATGCGCTTTAGAAACGGAATTTGAAGCAGCATGCTTGGTTGTTGAACAATTCTGGGATGGAGGTGAAGATCTATATGGGAAAGCATCGGGAGATATGAACAGCTATCGAACCGGGCGCATTGGTAGACACAACGTTGTGCTATTACTGCTCTCTGGAATGGGCAAGGTTCGTGCAGCGCATGCAGCAGCGAATCTTCACTCGAGCTTTACTCAGCTGCGCATAGTACTGCTGATTGGAGGTTGCGCAGCGACACCCCAAATTGATGATACTGATATTTTGCTTGGTGATGTTATCATCAGCACAGGTGTAGTGCAATACGACTTGGGAAGAAAGTATCCGGGTGGTTTTGTGCGAAAGGATTCTGCCCGAGATAACCTGAGCAAACCATGCAAGGAAGTTGAAAACATTCTGGCTGCACTTCAAGTTTCTGATATGAAGAACATGGTCACTTCGAGAACAGCCAGGTTACTTCTTCAACTGCAGAATATAACAGCTATTCATGGATATGGGACAAAATATCAATATCCTGGAATCTGGGAAGACAAGCTCTATCAAGCGACCTACCGCCATCAACACCATATCACAGATTGTGGCATTTGCGGTCAATCAGACAATGGGGTGTGCGACGCAGCGCTGCAAGCTACCTGTGAAGATCTTGGATGTGAAAAAAGTTATTTGGTATGCCGCAAGAGACTTCAAGAAAAGCTACAAATATGCCAGAACGGGGACATTTCGCATCAAAACCCGGCCATATTTTTTGGCATATTTGGCTCAGGTGACATGGTGATGAGATCTGGCGAAGACCGAGACATCCTTGCCCATAGAGAGAATGTGATTGCGTTCGAGATGGAGGGTGCCGGGATATGGGAAGAAGTTCCCAGTCTAATTATTAAAGGGGTGTTTGATTACGGAGATTCTCACAAGAACAAACGATGGCAAGCCTTTGCTTCGGCAACAGCTGCTTGTACTGCCAGAGCAGTGATTGAGCAACTTGCCTGGACAGATAGAGGAGAAGTCAAATTCTCACCTCAGGGTATATTTGAATGCCAATCTATCTACTGGAATCAATCGTGTAACTAACAAACCCCAGCTATCGAGGATAATCAAGCGATGTATTATGCTCGACAGACAAACGTGATCAAAAACGCTACTCAACACACATCTGGACAAATCAGAGGAAATTCAGCTATCGGGTATAGCAAGCAATCAAACAAAATCGAATTTTCAAGGTAAATTTGAACAGAATAATACCTTGCTTCATCTAACTGGAATATAGGTGGAAATTGCGTGGATATAAGCTCTTGAGTGCTCTGTTCAACCGCAAAATATTCAAGAATAAGAGCCAGGGAATTAAATGATCCAAACAAGTAGCAGAATATAGCAAGCTCACTGCCGAAAGTTACAATATACAACCATTTTATAGTCCCTTTAGATATCATATTTCTTACATTACTGTACAAGCCTTATTTTTCTGTCTTGTGCCCTTTCCTGCTGCTTTGTTGTTTCTGACCTTGGCCCCTATCGCAGCAGCTATATTGCTTTGTGCCGCACCGTCAATGGCATCGTTGAATTCAACAACCACATCCATGTTTCCTTGAGCCGGATCAAACTTGTAATCCTCTATGTATCTCGTCATAACAACGGCGGCCATGCTTTCATCGAGCGGGGCGTGTGATGCTGCGCCATGAGCTGATACAGGTCGCATAATCGACAGCCGTTGTTGTAATACCTCATTAAGCGATCGGTGTGATGGACGAGGTTCGGTTCTGTCGTTCGATTTTGGTAATGACTGCATCGTGCAAAGGCGTTGAGCACTGAAAGATGCAGTTTGTTAGCCACAGGAAGCATCCCGAATTCCTGCGCTAAGTGGAAGCATTTGTCTATTTGCTCAGCCAAGGAAGTAATGTGGATAAATACTTGCAATTGAAGTGAGATCACACGTCGTGTACGGTAGAAGCGCACATTGAACTCTACTTCGCAGCGAGAGTAACGATTGAATCTCAGCGATATGAATCTGATGATGGATGATGACTACAGGTAGGCTGCGAGCAATCACTGGCCGGCAGTAAGCTTGTGGCTTCGCATATATATATATGCATGTACGTTACTTAGACATTATAAGAGCCCGTTGGATGATATATATATTCCCATAAGCACTTGATGCTTTTTGCTTCGTATTAGTGCCCGAGCATCTGAGTATACCCTTTTGTAGGTCGGCTAATACCACGGCGCTTCGACTACGACACCGTATGAGCTGAACTAATAATGCAGGGGGGCAGGGCATGCACAGCTACGTGGACCCATTAGCTGGATGTGCTAGATTTGGTGTGCTGACTGCACCAACAGATGGACGCTGAGATAGGCAACGCTATGATGAATCGTCATCCCAGGAAAACTTCTAAGGAGTACGTATAGATAATTTTTGCTCTGAGTGCGGAGTAGGTAGGTATCTAGTTACTTATCTTTCGATCCCTTTGGCAGGCCAGTAGGCTGATGGTTAACTCGCAATATAAAGCATATTGATGTTCAGCTCAATGATTCGGCGCGTAACAACGATTTACTGATCACAATATTAAATCCAAATGGGTAACAAGACAAGTATATTGCGTTGGTCCTCACTTGTGAAGATGCGCGCTTCCGCGAATGCTTTAATTTGCGACATCGTGCCTCTACTCTGACAGATTGGATGCCTCTTCAAGGGTCTGTTTCACTTGTGACGATATGAATGAAATGATTGGTATGGAAACCATCGTCTTCAAGTGTGTGGTTGAAAGGAATCCAGTTGGTCATGCGCGGCTGCCAGTGATTGGACCTCCCGTTGATGAGCTGTTCTCGATTTTTGCCACCATTGGTGACGTTGTTGTCACAATGCAGGGCGCCAATCTGCCTTGGCTATTTCCATCCGTCACTCTCTGTTAGGCGTAAATTGATTGAGCAACAGTCGCATCCGGCTTCAATCACGTCAGTCATATTGGCCACATGCTGGGCGAATTTGTCAGTTTGCAGCTCACACAGAATGTTCAAACTTCGCCTTGGTAGAATAGAGTTTTTGGTACTCAAAGTTTGTCTAAATGCCGAAAAAGCATTGCACTAGAACACATGATCTTTAGGAACTCGATATTCGGGGGGTAATATTTGTGTCACGGTTCCATAAGCCTTGTGCTAGGGGGCAGTTAAATTTTGATACGCTCTTTTCTCTGCGAAATAAAAATTGCCTGGGACACGCCTAATAAATAGGTTAACCCAAGATGGCTACGGTATGGTGTTAATAAAACAAGCGCCCCATCACCTTGCAAGAATATTACATGCGCCCGATAATGTATAGGTTAATTGGTTATTCTGGAGATGAAATCACATCGCGCTTCTCACTCATCACTTCTGACTGCGGGATGAGCCTAGCTCCCGCCTACAAACGACAACCAGGAAGAATAATGTGGATATTTCTGCTAGAGCGTGAACTTTGTACCGGTTGTTTAAAAAGAAACCAGAGAGAATGATATTACAGCTCATCTTCTCCGCCAGCTGAAAGTCTGGTCGATATTGTCTTTAACAATTTGTCATGCCGATTTTTCTAATCATGGGTGCCTAGTCAGACCAGGCTAAGAACCAGGGCATAATTGCCTTATTCTTGGGATTCGGAGAATTCCCCTACTCAATTGAGATGGCTGAGCTGACGTCGCTTAAGCATGGGTGACCCCTAAGCAACTCCTGACTCCTGAGCAAGGCTTGGGTTTCTTTAGGTACTTCTTAATGTCGTATCAAAAGAGGTCAGTATAATACAGCAGCAGATGTATTAGTTTCCATCTCGTCATTCCAACTGTAAACTCACGAAACCAAATCATCCTTCAGGTCATTGCAAACGTCGGGCCGGTTGTGTGAATTAGAGATAAGGAGATGACATGCCTACTCTCTGCGACGCATTTTGACATCTCATCTGATTGTATGAATGAGATAAAAAGCTGACTGAGCCAATCGGCGTTTGACCTAAACCGGAATCGCAAAAGTACCAAACGATTGCAGTGCGGTTGTTTTTAAGTTATACGCACAGATTGAGGCTGAGCTGACGCTTTGTTGTTGGATCTAGCGTAAGAGCGTATAGCCTGGTCCCCATAGCTTGAGGGCGTATAGCCTGCTTATGTCCTCATAGCGTACTCTTCATGGCGTGCTCCTCATAGTGCATAGCGCAGACAACGTACGGATTGACTAACATTCAGCGTCAAAATGATAGAGCGTATAACATGTGCGTATCATAGCCTCATGTCAGCAATTTAATAAACTTTAGGGCTGAGGTTGATCTGAGCAGTTCAAAGTATTTGTCAAGCCTCTGGCATATGATTAATGTCTTTTGTTATAAATAAGCTTATACTTTCTTTCTTTTTTTGTGACCGTATCTACTTGCAAGTCATCGAGAAGCTTCTTCCCATAGCTTTACGAACAGTTTACCTTGGTTCACCAACTTAATCTCCATCTTCAAAGACAATGGTGTCTACACTGCTCTTAGGAGCTTTAGTGCTTCTGCCGGGCATTTCTGTTTCAGCAAATGCCTGTGTCGAAAGGCCTCACGGATATTGCAAGCAGTTGGATATTCCACTGCCTATCACCGCGGATACTGCCGTTTTTGACATACCAAGAGTCGACAACGATATCGAAGCGGTAGCCTGGGCAATTTACGATGCCACTCGGACTACTATCCACGGCCCCGGTAACATCATCAAGAACACCACGACTTCTGAGATCTTCAACATCCATGCTCAGCTTTGTGTTCCCAAGTCTACCAAGAACGGAAAGCACAATATCTTGCAGATCGCCACCCATGGAGTGCACTACGACTCTAGATACTGGGATTCCGAGTACAAGCCGGAGAACCACTCCTACGTGGAAGCAACACTTAAAGCAGGATATTCCATCCTCACATATGATCGTCTGGGAGTCGGTCAATCTGACAAGCCGGATGCATACGACGTGGTCCAAGCCCCTGTTGAGCTCGAAATCCTCCGCCAGTTGACCCTGATGGCACGCAACGGTACCCTGTATGAGTTTGCGGGTCATGCGAAACCCTCCATTCCCTCTTTCAAATCATTGGCAGCCCCGCATAAGGTCGTCCACATCGGACACAGTTTCGGATCCTTCCTTACCTCGGCCTTCATTGCCAGATACGGCCCCCTTACTGATGGAGCCATCATCACGGGCTACCTGTTCGGCGAGAATCTTGCGAGCGCCGGCTCAACATCGTTCAGCGTCGAATATGCCGCCACGGGATCGCCTCCCTTCAACCGATCAAGCGGCTACGTTGTGGCCCAGAGAGATGGCATCCAAAACATCTTCTTTGGTGGCAATCCCAAAACCGCCTTCACCCCAGAGTTGCTCGACTATGGCATCAGCATCAAGCAGCCCGTCCCGATCGGAGAGTTCGCCTCTGCCTTCTCCCTGCTTGGAAACCCCGGACCATCCTTCAGGGCCCCTGTACAATTCCTCTTGCCCGAGTTGGACTTTTACATCTGCCGAGGCGACTGCCGGGGTTTGGCCAATATGACAGAGCTGAACGCGACTTACCCCCACGCTACCAAGATTGAGGTGGCCCTTCAACCCAACACTGGCCATGCGCTGCCACTCCACAACAATGCTACCGCAGGGTTCCAGCTCATTTTCGACTTCTTTTCTAGACATGGCTTGTAATGGCCGTTGTGGTGGACGTGCTGCTCGAAGACATGTTGTGACACCAACTTTGACTACCTAGGTACTCGCGGGCCCTATTATAATTCTTTCTATGTAGTAGAATATTAATTTAGACGTTGAATTAATTCAGAAAAAGAGTTTTATACTTATTCAATAGTTATTGTTTCTCGTGATCGAAATATGACGCCCTACAAATGCTGCTGTAAAGTAAATAGAGGCTCCAGTGAGCTTCGTCACGTATTGCGCTAGTAACGCGCAAAGCCAGGATTAGATGAAGGGTAAGAGAATTGAAGCTAGTTATTATAAGCCCTCAGAGCCTTGTTCTCTTATATTCACTATTCTTTGTTTTCATTTTTGCCTTTGCTTATCTTTAGTCAATAATTTGAATGACTTAACACCAAAGGAGCGGTAGCCTCAAAACAGGCAGGTGTATCATTACCGCTAGCTCAGGGGGGGAAAAACACTTCAATCATATAGAAAAAGGATTTGGGTGGTTTATTTGTTGATAAAATCTGGATTTACGGAATATTCACTATCTATGTTTCTAAAAGACGTATGCTAGATTGATAAGTTTTCTCGCTCTCCGGCATGCTAACCTGTATTAACCCTTACGCGCAAGCTCTTAAAAGCATTCTAAAACAAATAGTGATAATAAAAAAAAGGGAGAGTAAGAAGATAACAACTTCGTCTATTTCTAATGCCAATCTCCCAACAGCTACATATGATCTTTGCAAGTATAGCGGCTTCATTGCACTTAGTTCACAGCAGGAACGAGAAGTACATCGCAGCTAACTTTTGCGAAAGTGCTGACAGCCAGTGGTTAAACCTTCACTGCCTGAACTTGGGCAAAGAGGTTACCAATATCTGCACCAGTCTTTTGCTTCAAAGGCCTAGTGTAAGGGAGTTTCTCCAATTCTGCTTGGTGATTAGTATGAGTTCTTCAGACAGTATCAACAAGCAACCACTTTGCGCGACTTACCAAAGAATGACTTGACCCATTCCTTAGGAGCACCTCCAACAGTATCATCCCACAGGGTGGTCAAGAATAAAGCCGTCGTTCCGGGACTGCCGTTGATCCCGAGATCTGATGAATTGAATATCGGATTGGCCTTCATTGCGTCCGCTACTCGAGCAGCTCTGGCCTTGGCCGCCTGCTCTACGGTGATGTACTTGGATTTTGGATCGCGCGTAACCTTGTTCAAGTCCAGTCTCTTCGCCATTGTCGACCAGACTTTCGGGTCAAAGTTCAAATTGTCTCCGAAATAGAGATCATTTCGTGATAGGGATCCATCAAATTCAACACAGTTGTGTCCATGTTTTGCCAGATCGTCGAGATTGAAAGTCGAAAAGTTGCCAGTGGTCGTTAGGTTGCAGTCTTGGGCTTGGACGAACGCGGTGTCAAAGGTGCTAGGTTCATAGTTGTATGCAGCAGCGACGGCAGCTTGAATGGATGGTAGATCGATGTTCTTTCCGGAACGAGGAAGGTAACCGTGGTTAGCAAGCACGTTCAGGCCAGGGCAAGGAGATCGACCTGTTGCTCGCGGTTAGTCGCCTATATATATATGAATCACCAGCGATTTTTGGGCCACCCACTGTCTCCTGGCCCCGCAGGAATCCATGCGTGTGGGTTAATAGGATGGTTAGGCAGTGCCGAAGCGAAGCTGCCTAATGCCACAGTGAAAAGAAGGCCGCGCATGTTGTCTGATTAGATCGGAGTAAGGTTTTTTGGTATGATGGTGTTGGTTGACAAAGAAGTGATGCTCCTCTGTTTGTTTACAACTAGACTACCGCATCACGAGTATTTATACAACGTTCGATCTCTATTTTTGCGTCTCTACCTATTCCAAATTGTCTGTTTCTCTACAAATTCCAAATTTTCTGCATCTCTACGGAGTGCATATTCCAAATCGTCTTCCAAAAGGGCGTATTCAGGCGCATCATCCGCAACGAGGCTGTTCGTCTGTTCATCAGGAGTCAGCAGAGAGCGTGTTCACTTGGTAGGCAAGGGGTAGGAAGACTACACCAGGCTGATTCTGGCCCTCTTAGCATGGATGTGCCTGGCAATTTCCTTCCACGAGTACACCGATATTGATGCTTTGAGTAAGGAGGCCAGTCCGGTGTTTACCTTCTTTCTCCGCATGGTGGAGTACATTCATCTTGATTGAGGACAACTCGAATGCGTTGGAGACGCAGCATCCGCTAGCTCCCGTAAACTCCGCCTCTTTGCCAAGCTAGGCCAGTTTCCATGGGACCGTTCGGGCCTCTGCCGGCGCGATGTGGGGATGCGGGTTGGAGGAATACGCTCGGTGGCTTGTGGAATACGCTCGTGAGACTGGAGGAATACGCTCGGCCAATGCAACCTGATGAGTAACCAGCTTCTGAGCAAATATGAGTACAGTACCCGGTTTCGAGTCGACAATGGCATTGTAGGATACTATTACTCGACTTGAGCATCACAATCAAATTGCTTATTGTACGCAGTATCATTGGTTCATTTACGACAGCGGCTGAGAGCGCACTGTATTAACAATCTTGAGCTGCACTATACACTACTTGCTGCTTATGCAGATAGAGCAGCATACAACATGAGCATAGATGGTTTTATTCATTGTGCAAATGAACACAATGATATCTCGATGTTACCTTTTTTGCAACACTTTAGGCGATAAAGAATCTCTTGTAAACGTAAAGTTGCACGTTCAGGAGACCAAATGTTGGAATTGGCTATTGTGCTCTAAGTAGAAGCGTGTCTATACAACATCTAAGGATCCCTCAATTCCTCCATTCCATCGCCATCATGCCATCATGCTCTCTTTACCCTCGATTTTATTCTATAAAGACTGCAAAACTACTCCCGGGTGGTCGGGCAATGCTAAATACTCCATCACGAAACACTCAGTAAAGCTCCGAACACTTGCACATAGAGTCGATAAAACGTGATATATTTCAAAATCATAATTGGTATATATATTTGACCATCATGATGCCATAACCCTACACAAACGCTAATACTTCTACCGTGACAATGATCCCGAAGGCGTCACTCTGTTAGCCTTATCATAATGTCGCCCCATTATAGTTATGCCATTAGTGGCATGGAAGTTGAAGGATTCAGTCGGTAAAGCTTGAGTGTGGACGCTCATTGGACTGATCTATAGATAGCATGAACTAGATATGAGATAATAACTAGCTTAGATCTCAATACCGACTGATCGGTTTCCCCAAGATGAACTAATACCGCCCTGCCTTATCCCCAGATTAATCTGTCATACCTTGTTGACAATTTCAGCTTTACCAAACGTGTTATCAAGAGAGGCGGCGGGGCATGATCGAGCCTGAGCTGCCATTGCCATATTGATCCGCTGTTACATGCGAGTAAACTGAGCCGATCTCACTTCTAATTCCATAGCTTAGGGGAGATATCGAATATTTTATGTTTCAATAAGTTTTCGATTCCTAAGCATGTTAGCTATGCTTGGGTAAACCGCTGAGGAAGAAAAGAAAATCGCTGTTGAGACTTTCACTTGGTTGCATGAACGATGCACTACCGATTTTGCCTAGTACAACGAACCATAATGTTCCATATTCTCCGATGATCCACATAGTAATCCACATATTAAACATGGTATGGATGATGATCTGCTTTACGGAGTAGATCAATTCTACTGGTATGCCATGAACGATTCGAGGTACTCTATCCCGTTGGTAGAGATGTTCGAGCACGAGCTTCGTAGTGGTTTACATGAGAGTGGTTTACATGATTCTAGAAGGATGCCTAGAATGCGGGAACTACGAGGCACTTAGTCGAGAAGGATTTCGGGAAGTAGACAGGGGCTGCGATTCACAGGGGCTGCGATTCGTGCGCCTTACAGAGTAGTGCCGCAATCTCTTACCTCTGTCAGAACCAAAACTCCCCACACGCAATACAACGTCCCCTGAAGGGTCAACAAACCTCAGTAGTCTGGACTCTAGAACAGTTATGTACCGTAGAACCTCGCAAAACTCGTTTATGGGCCGTTCGATATAAGGTGTTATGCTAACTTGAGGAAGTTAGCCTATTACTTCTCTCGATCAAAACGGAGTAGAACTATGGGGAGACCCACAAACGGGTTTTGCGAGGTTTTATGGTACCGTGATTCAGAGATATGTTTTGTTGAGATTGGCAGTGAAAAGCTGAAAAGATATCTAGGGGATTCCATATCCTAGCTCCTTTCAAGCTTGTTCCCCCATAAGATATACCTCTAATTGGTCATACATCATCCTTGTCTCCATTTACATTCTCTTCTAGCCAGCCGCAGAAGGCAAATCTGACCATATAAGGAATGTAAGATTGTTGATTGACAACTGGCTATCAAATGCCGCAAAGGAATGGATTATAAATACGGAGTACATAGAAGATACTACGTGTACATTGTCCAACCTAGCGTCCAGTTGCCAGGGATCAGTCCGGTATTCTGCGGGATCCTTCCTGACCAGGGATACGCGTGAGATAGTTGAACAATAGAATCCACCCTTTCCCCTTCGTTGAAGAGCTTGAGGGTCTGTATACTTCGATGAGTTGCTTTTCTCCTTACAATGGGGTACTTCTTGCCGGAATCAAAGTCACTCATATCGTAGATCTGTTCCTGAGAGTTGAAATGGTCAGAACTAGGGCGCCTTCTAGAACCTCTACGAGGTTGCATTCCTGATGACTCGCCTTCCTAGAAGCTTACAGGCTGTCTCATAACGGCTCGCTCTATTATATTAACTCCGGCCAATCAACTTTGCGGAGTTTCCTCTTTACAACATACTAGTTGTTTGTGCAATAAGATCGGACACGTAACTCTCTCCACAATTTAACAGTTGAAGTTACAGGCTTTAGCTGTTAGCCTAAACCTTGCTGGCTCATCACTACGAAAAAGGGGGCCTGCTCTAGCCCGCGAGATATGATGATTCACTTTATCAGGTTATTCTGGTTCGTCGCGGAAGGGCAAGGCCGCGGTCTTGGTCACGGGATTCGCATTTACAACGGGATTCGCAAACGCGAACTCACCGCTAAGTCCACTAGAAACCAGGCTAGAATGCACAGCCCTGGGCCTCGATATTTTGCTGCGTCACCAGCTTGACAAATAACCTCAATTGGGGTGCCTTGAGATGAAGTATAGGATTCATGCTAAACCTGGGTGCATGGGTGAGATGATTGCTGCTTACTATCTCCTCGGCACTCATCAGCAGACTCAACAAGACAAAGGCGCGGAATTAACCAAACCAGCATGTCTGCCTTAACTTTCTGACACATACCGAATTCCAAATACAACCCCGAAAAGGGATGGTGTGTTACTTTCCTGCTGCAAGCGCCGTCGCAGACTTAGCGTAACTATTGTCTCCGGATTGCCGTTGAATATTTAAATAAGTGGTCTCTCAGTGATCTTGCACCAGGAGTTCCATAACAACAAGCTTAAGAGACTATTCAGCCAAAATGTCCACTATTCTCATTCACACGGCCAAGGAGTTTAAGCAGCGCCGGTCGCATGAAAAATCTAGAAAGGGCTGTATAAGATGCAAGCAGCAGAGAAAAAAGGTGCTTTTACAGTTTTGATTTCGTGTTCATGTTGAGAAGCTGGGGAATCAAGATGTTTGCTAACAGCGTAATTAGTGCGACGAAGCTCGTCCCATCTGTTCTCGCTGCCAGAAGCGAAATCACTGCTGCCGTTACACTACCCAGAACGAACGCTTCCCTCCAGGCTCGACACCTCTCAGCCCTGAAGAAGACTCTCCAATCCCTGATATCCCGGACTTGGATTTTTTACATCTCGCCGAGGCCAGCCCAACCAGCTCCGAAGCAAACTCCGATGGCACCTGTTCTGGCGATTCGGGCATTGCCCGCACACTGCAATATGATACCCTTGGCGTACCGCAGGTGCTCCAGCCATCTCATGCTTTGAATTCTGAAGACTTGGAGCTGTTAAGTCACTATATCACACATACCAGCCGCGCCATACCCTTCAATGCAGAAGAATTACACGCCCTCCACGTTGGGATGCCGAATCTCGCATTTGGCAGCAGGCCAGTCATGGGCTCAGTGCTGGCGCTCTCGGCGGTTTGCAAGTGCTACGACATTTTGAAGCGTTCATCAGCTGCTCTCGACAGAATAGACGATATGAAAAGGCTTCTTTTTCTAGCAGATGAACACCATAGATCTTCGCTTCATCAGATGCAGGGAGCTCTTTATGGCGGTCACTTTGACACAGTTCTGGCCAATGCTGCGTTGATGGTGCTATATTCATTATCCGGCCACTGCGTTCGGGTACTGTTAACAAAGAAAGCTGCCAGATGCGGGATCACACTATCCAACGAGATGCTGCCGTTGCAATCACAGTGGATAACCTCCATTCGTGCCGCCTATGTAGCCTACGTTGGGCTGCTAAACAGTGGAAACAGTGAGCTGGAGAATGATCTGCCGAGCCCACATTCAGTTGCAAGTGAAGATGCTGCTTTTCACACAACCACCATGCTGGGCGATAATCTACTGAATCCTGAAGATGGCCCGTCAGAAGGGACGAAGAAATTGCTACTACCTATTGTATCTGCGACATACGGGGCCGCCATGGAAAAGCTCACTGCACACGTTCAGGCCGTCTGGATTGGCCAATATGACTCAAACTTCCACGCACCAAGCAACCCGGATTCAGGGCTTCAGGCATGCCTTACGGCTGTTGAGCTTCTGGATAGTCTTTTCAATACAGTATTTGCCAGCGACGAGTCAATCCCCGAATCCTTTCAACCAATACCCACTGCATCGAATGCCCACCTGGGTAAACTCGAAAATGCCTCCCCATGGCTGAGGAGATATATAGCTCACGTCATCTCCGTTGCGCCAACTAAGATGTTGAGACGGACAATCATGACTTTCCTAAGCCGCGTACCACTCGAATTTCTTCAGCTTGTTCAATCAGCCCTGGACTATATGCCAGTACCGGGACAACAAAACGACTCTGTTTGCTCCCATAATGTCGTACCACTTGGCCAAGCACAACAGCTAGCAATGAATATCTTTGCCCACTGGCTGGTCCTCGCCATGCTCCTAGACGGGGTGTGGTGGATTGGCACCATCGGAGAGTGGGAGCTCGGGCGGATACTCTCATTCATGGAAACTCAAGGGTGGATGACCGAATCCATAGAAACGGGGGAAGCGTGGTGGCCGGAAAGCATGTACGCTGTTCAGAAAGCAATTGCTGAACCTATAGAATAATGATAATAATGACTAATAAACACGGCAAAGGTGTTGAAATTGGCGATCACACGGACACCGTAGGATCAAGTATCGGTGTGAAATAAAGATAAGCATAAATTAAATATCATTTAGTGTATTAGATATGATGCAATGGCCGCAAAGTGTTTCCCAATATCTCAACCCATATACTGTGTGTGGATCCGATTCCTCGCTTATAATTTCTACATTGTGCAGTATGTATAAGCTGTGTTGATTTAAGGGCGTGTCTCGGTGCTGCTGCCTTGGATCCTACAGAAGGCCTGTTCATTCTACAGCAAGGGTCGCTCATTTCACGGCACTTCTAATCTCGGCAACAGCCGTGAGAAGCATATGTTCTGCCCGAACGTGCGGAGACATAAAAGTCTGGCATTTGCCTCCACCCAAACTTGGACAAGTCATGAAATTAAAGGGCAAATAGGCGAATTCTGAATACTTGGTGTAACTATGTACATAGATTTTCTTCATATCGAATCCACCGCGCCTTTCTCAATTTCTCGTCTGCTATGTGGAGGCTAAGTACAATGATAAAAGAAGCGGGAGCCTACAAATTTCATCCAATGAAAAGAGAAACGGGTGAGGCGCAGGTAGTATTTGTAAATACTCATGCAGTGCGCGTCCATGTTTTGTTGCTGCCTAGTTGCTGCCTCATTCGGCCTGACCGAGATTTGCAGCCCAACCCCAACAACTCAGAAATTCCCACATCATGATACCCCCAAGCCAAGAATTCTTAGTTTAATGTATTCTTGACAACCCTAACCCGGATCAATCAGCTCTTTTGCCAGCGTAGCAAGATAACACAATGGACCCGAATGAGATGCTCGCCATTGTAGACAAATTCATCGCGGAAGACACAAATCCTACCGAAAAAGAACTATTTCAATCAAGTAGCCATGATGACGTACTGCACGACATCAACGATATCCAATCATTTCGAGAATCGACGAAAAACATGATGAACATGAAAAGGATAGAATCATTTCTCACCGGTATGGAACATTTCGAGAAGGTGATGATTAAGCTTAAGCTCGATCCACAACATGTCGTAAAGCTGATGGCATGCGTCTGGGGTCCGGTCCGATTTCTGTTAGAGGTATAGTATATGAACCCAGCAATTATGGGGTTGTACTCTAACACCATGTAACATATAGTTTACGAATCGCACGGATCGAGAATTAGACAGCTTACTAGACGTATACGAGAAGATAGGAGAGAAGCTTCCATTACTGTACGAGTATGTACAGCTATTCATCTCAATACCCGATTGCACAACATTCTTAGTACACATATATCAAGATGTGCTTACCTTCCATCGGTGTGCATATAAGCTTTTCTCTCTCCGGTCCACTTGTAAGATCAATATCTCCGTGGTAGTAGAATTACAGACACTAACACATTCATCAGTATTTCAGAAAATATATAAATCCACCTGGAAATCTTTAAACGATACTTTTGATCAAGTAGCGATTTCCTTGGAAAGCCATGGAAATTTCCTTAAAGATAAGGGGTCATCTTTTTGGAACTCTCAAGCTATCTTAAATGTGGATGTCGAATTACCGCCAGTGGAATCTTGGCAGGACGGCAACCAAAACTGGCCAAATATTAGGAGGATGTTTCTGGAATACCCCCAGAATGTGAAGAAGTCATGGGAAGATTTCGAAGAAAAACAAACAGATGAGAAAACCAAGACGAAGAAGAAAGTTTCGGCTTGGATATCGGCCTCAAAGAAGATGCTGCTGCTTCACAAGAAATTTCAGGATGCGCGAATATGTTCTGATACTGGCCGTTGGTTATTCAAGAGATACAGCGAAGTCAGGGATTGGATGCATGAAGATCCGCCACCCAATTCCGCCCTCTGGCTCCAAGGGAGTAGAGGATTTGGTAATAGTTTTGTTTCATAAGCCAAGATATCGTGAGCTAATGATGTTTTAGGTAAAACTATCCTCTCGTCGGTGTTGATAGACGAGTTGGAAGACTTACGTACCGGGAAGAAGAGAAAAGTGATTCCGCGAGACAGCAAGATATGCTATTTCTATTGCGAAGAAGAAGGCACTGATCATCGTACTTACCTTGATATTCTCAAAGGAGTTTTACATCAAATGGTCGAAGTCACCGAATATCTTTTGCCTCTGTGCAAGGAAAATATCGATTCAAGCGGAATTCTAACGGACGTCGCAACGGCAGAAGCTCTCATCAAGGCTTTTTTTGAGTATAACACTCGGCAATACATCGTCATTGATGGCATAGACGAGTGCGAAATTATAGAAACACGTAGAGCCGCAAAATTCTTCATGGAGCAGGTTACATACTGCGACAACATCAAGCAGGGGCGATTGAGGGTGCTATTTATGAGTCAACAAATTCCGGAACTAGCCAAAACCGACATCATGCCAGAGGGTGATGCGTGTGTCGAACTCAAGGCGACGGACAATGCAGAAGACATCAGAACGTATGTGAAGAAGAGGATACCGGATTTCTCTAAGGAACGAGAGACGGAAAGCGGTTTCAACCTTTCTGAAAGCGACAAACAACAGATTGAAAGTATTATCTGTCGAAGAAGTGAAGGTTCGTTTTCTTAATAAGCCCCCGTGTATGGTAAATATACCGAAGCGCATGCTGACAACAAATGTAGATATGTTTCTCTATGCCCATTTGGCCATCGAGTATCTTCTATCCCAGTTGACGAAAGAGAAGCTTATAGAGAAATTAACAGAAGAAATGGAACCCAAGGAGCTCTCCCAGATGTAAGTTTTCAACTGCGCGAATCCTGCCACGGACAGGATGAGTGGGCTAATATTATTCGTAGATATGAGAAGCTTTTGGGCATAGTGAGGAGCGAGCTATTTAAGCTGGGAAAGGGAGACGATTCTCACTGGAAGATGGCAACGCAACTTATAGGCTGGTTGGTCTGCGCAAAACGTCCCCTCAAATGGCACGAAATGCAGTCAATTCTGTCCTATGACCCCGACCAGCAGAAAGTGGATTTTGATAACAAGATGCTGAGACAGGCTTCCCATAAATATCTTGGGTCTCTGGTACATGTCCTTGAGGGTGGTCACATCCGGATTGTTCATTCCACAGCACGGAAGTAAGCAATGAGTGATCTTACAGCTAGCTTTATGATATCAGACTAACCATGATTAGGTGTCTCATTCAAAATGCCCATATTAATGAGCAGGCTGTCTACTGTGATCTCGCGATACGCTGCTTGCGATACCTGACTCTAATAAGTGCCTCCAAAGCTTATGACGAGAATGAGCGGAAAGAAAAAGTAAAGCTTGGCTGGTTTTCTTTTCAAGATTACGCTTGTTCACAATGGCACGGCCACATTAGCACGGTAATCTCGAAGTGTAGCGGCTTATTGAATGGCGACGCTGGTTGCAGTGAGAAATTTGGTTCCGCATTACAAGACTTCGTGGACCAAAACCGAGCGGATCTCGCACAGGAATATCATCTGGACTTTCGAGATCAAATGCCAGCCGATCTCGACGGCTTCTCAACACTTCCGTTCTATCAAAACCTCTGCATCTTGTGGAATCACATTTATACTCACCAGAAAAAGGTGTTCGAAGTCCGGAACACTGTGGGTATTGAGGGAATTGAGAAGGCTATGCTCGAGAATAGAGCCTCACTGGAGGCCAACTTCGCCCCCAATAATATCGCCTACCTCAAGGATACGATATCGGATTACTATGGTCCGAATCTGTTCAAATGCAAACGCCTCTTGTGCGATTACTTTCATGTGGGCTACGATAAGGAAGAGGATCGTGAAGCCCACAACGATCGACACGATAGACCATATCAGTGTTCCTTACGGTGTAATGCTGCCCCGATCGGTTTCACTTCAAAGAAGGACTTGGAGAGACATGTGCGGTTTTACCATCCTGAACTGAGCGACGGACCAGCTGCATTTGAGTCGTTGCGTCCCAGAACTGGGGCAAAGGAGTTTCCCTGCAGCCTGTGTGGTAAGAAATTTACAAGGAAGATCAACCAGGTCGGCCACGAGAGAAGCCATTTTGGAGAGCGCCCTTTTAAGTGTACACACATGGGCTGTGACAAGGCCTTCACGAGATTAAGCGACTGCCAAAGGCACCAAAAGATTCATTCAAGAATAGTACAATAGAGACTTACGCCCTTATAGTCATAGGAGTTGCCGCATTCAATATTTATTTAAAAGCTTTGTGTCCTAGTTGTTCATCTTCGCTTCAAATGTAATGTCTCGCCGACTGACGCCTTCCCATATCCCCATATCCTCAAAGTTGACCAGTCCAATCCGCCGATAAAGCCCCCTACCAACATCAACCACAAGCAATCCTTTGCCTTTCTTGGTATTCTCGCCTATCTGTACTGTCCCCAACAACAGATATTCCAGATCGTCAAATGTCAGTCCCATCTCTTGGAGTTCTGCACCAGGATCGGCGAGATCCATGCCCTCTACTATTGTGTTGGCCTTTTCATAATTGACTTCATTTATTTTCAGCATACGGCATGTCAACACTGCTGTCTGCACAGTCAAGGACTTGACCACAGCATCTTCAGTGGAGATGGAGCCTTCATAGGCGACCACACCATCCAGAGATGCCCATGACCAACTTGGCGCTCGTTTAAGACTTCGTCCCTTTTCTCTTTCAATATCCGGTTTATACCAAGCCAGAAGGTCTATGAACCATTTCTTCCAGAGTCCATAGATGTTTATATCACGCCATAGTGTTTCAAGCTCAGAGGTTATGCCCATGACTGCATTCAGTTTGTCATCAGCATTTGTCAGCTGGCGATCTGTGTACTGCTGAACAATGGTCTTCCAGAGATAAAGTTTATCAGTTTCGAGATGTCCAAAGAAGGGTTCAGCGCCATTGTCAAAAACTGTCCATGGGAGACTTTCCAAAGGTTGGAGATACTCGAGCCCTCTCGTAGAAACACTCCGAAGGTCGACTTCTTTGCACTGCCATAAAAGTTCGTAGTCGGAGAATATCAACATTCTTGATGACAGCATGAACTCTTGTAACGTCCACCCTCTCTTGTCTAAAGGATGATCAGGCTCGTATGGACCTGTTGAAAGATACACCGTGCCTATCGCATTATTTGCCATTGGAATACGGACTTCATAGTCTGGACAGTAAGGTCGTATCTTTTGGGTTAAGAATCCATGTGCCGCATTTTCCGACGAGGATGCCGCGATAGTCACGGAGGCATTCTTGTAGATGGATGACATGCGCGAAATCTCCGTTTCCTTATCTGCAGAGCAGTCTTGGATGATACAAAGAGCATCGACCCATAGATACCGGAACCCGAGCTTGCGAGTCGCAAAAATGGCATCTTTTATGGATTGTTGAAGACTCTCAAATTTGATACCAGCAACCAGTTGCTTGAGATTATCTCTCAGTAATTGGAGTGGTTTCGGTGTATTGTCAGGTTGTTTTCCCCAGCAATAGCTCAACGCAAGATATTGGGCACGGGTGTCCATATCATTGATCTTCAATTTGACTGTTGGGTGAAGGTCTTCTGGCTGGCCAACATCGAGAACTCGTAGCGGAAGGACGATATCTCGGGAATATTGACAATGCTTGTGAGGATTCTTGGGATTCATGCATTTTTTGATGAGAGCCCTCGCTGCGGCAAATGCATTGCTACTTCCGACATTTCTGCGAAGAGGCCTCTGGTGCACAATTTCTGCGATGGCATCGTCTATTTCAAGTTAGACTGTAGTTTTCTGTTCTTCATGGAATGAACACTCACCCTTTTTAGCAAATACTTGGATGGTAACGGTGGGTTTTGTAGGCTCAGATTCGATACTGCATGTAAGCCCATATATTCCCGTCTGTTGACTGTTCGGTAAAGTGGACAAAGATCGCGGAACTCGAGAATTTCGAAAGATAAGACGTTGCTCGTGAGCCCAATCCTCGTCATGCTCACTGCAGACGGCGAATAGGATCAATTTGCACAATCCACACCCTGCGTCAGCAGAGGCTATGCAGTCAGTCCGATTCTGATGCCAGAAACCATCAAGTGAGTTGAGAGACTTCAGGCCGTCATGAGAGAGCATCAGTGCGCATATTTCGCACGAGCGATTGTCTAAACGTCGCCGAAATCTTGGAGAGTGAGATTCGTTACCCTGATCTGTGTTGCAGTCGGACTCAGACCGTCGCCTCTTTTGTCCGACTGGCGCTGTCGTTGCCGACCTCAATGGAAGTAGAGCTGATTCCATCACATCTGTAGTAATTAAATATATGAATTAATCTCGTTTTTGTCTCAGAGTTCATGAAAACTCGAGTCAGGAAGCCTGATAATGATCGGCTGTACGCTTACTTTATTTATACACACATTCATATTTCAGACACGTAGTCGATTTGTCCAAGCACTTCTGTAACTCTCCTTTTGGAACAATTTAATTTAGTAATTCGGCCTTGTCGCCCAAAACTTTCGGCGACCTGCTCCAAGAAAGATGGCGTTTAGGATTTACATGGCTGGTTGAAGCTTACACCTATGCAGCATGCGTCTAAGCCACGTTGGCTGGACGCGATTCGTGGAACTGCAGCAAATAGGCAACACGGAATAGGGATACATTGGATTGCCTTGCGAACGCGTTCCGCCAGTAGGGTTACGCGCACCAGCTTCAGCCTCATTTTCGGTGATGAAACGCGTCCGCCTCGCCATTCTGCAGTCCGCCTCGTGTTTGCCTTACGGAATAAAAAACAATGCTCATCTTGGCCACGTCGATAAGTACTCCTCTTATCAGAAACAACCATGGGAGAGAGAAACCTTCTGCAGAGATTCCCAGATTTTCCGCCATTACTTTACAGATAATTGAGTAACCACAATGTCCAATCCTTTGAAGCGACGGTTTGATCCGGTCAGAGAGTTGGATGATGAAGCCTTCTTCACATCCAGCGGGGAGCCACAGCAGCCGTACGGGCGGGAAATGCTTCTCGATTATGACGGAATTCACGATTCCATGAGACAGAGTCAATACCATGGGCCAAGTTACATGAATCCGATGAGGTACGTAACAAACTAGTGATTCCCACAAACATTACTGACTGTTGTAGTGATGTTCCGATTATCCAACAGGCGGACTCTTTGTCGGGGGTGTTTAGCAACCTTCTCGTCGATCCGAGCCTTGTGCCATCCATGGAATTTAATGACTTGGACTTTAACTTGGACGACGCACTTACTGATTGGAGCAATGACATGCTGCTGTCTGGCTCAGACTTGTCTCCGTTAACGCTACCTTCGTCGCAAGAAATTTCTCACTCGCCGTCTGTAGCATCTGAAGCAGGGCAGCCAAGAATTGAGGACGTTATTCCAATATTTAACAATGAAGTAGCCGACAACGAAATAATATGCTACGGAATGGTAAGTCATCATCATCTTTATCATAAAAGTACTGTAGCCTCTAATGTGAGAGGCGCTGTCTACCATTAGCTACACAACGTCGATGTTAAACTACTTGGCGACATGCAAACCATCCACTCTAAGCTAGACAAGAGTGACGCCGGACTCGAGCGATTTAAACTTGAAAAGCGCGAAAATCATGTCATTCTACGTTTCAGCGATACTGGCGAGGATTTTGGCCAGGTGCGCTCCAACGTTGGCACGACACTTTCGTCGCTACTAGGTGATCAGTCATCTAATGTCGAGTTTGAGCCTATCGTGTCTGTATCTTATTTAATGGATATCATTGGACGCGCTAACCGGCCCTCTGACGCTATTGTTAAAGTCGACATCAATGTTTACGGACCACAATCGGCTGTAACGAAAGTTGGCGATGACTTGTCATCGGGCAAGCTGTGGCTGCAGAGGCCTAGTAACATGAGATGCGAGGTTATATACCATAATCCGCACTTCTTGCGGCTTAATTTGAACGGCGTCCAACTTCAACCTAAGCAGCCTATGAAACAGGCCACCAGAGAGGGTTCTTCCAGCAGAAGAAAAAGAGAAGCACGATTGCGAACCCTGGTGGAAGAGGTATACAAGTCCATTCAAACGAGGGAGATTGAGGCGGTAGACGGTGGAGACAGAGTGGTTCAAACGCTTAAACGGCAAGTTTCGCAATATCTTTATGAGAAGTTCCCGCTAATATTGGCATGTCGTTGTTAGGCACCAAGAAAAAGCGCTGGGTTTCATGCTGGAGAGAGAGTCTGGTATTATCACCAACAGGTATAGGCTCTGGGAACCCATACCCGTGGAAGGCGGGAATACAGAGTAAGTTACCGTCAGTACAGGTTTAAGACGAAGTCTAACTGTGACGACGCTAGATATCGTCATAAAATTACTGGAGCTATAATTCGGAATGGTATACAGCCAGACGAAAGAGGCGGTGGTATTCTAGCTGATGAGATGGGTATGGGCAAAACGTTGTCCATGCTAACACTAATAATGAAGACTCTTGATATGGGGAAAGAATGGGCTGAACAGCGAGAAAACAACACCAAAGTCGACGAGACGATCAAGCGCTCACGCTCAACACTTGTGATTGTCCCTTCCGCTCGTAAGTTCCTCTGATATTAACACTCTCCCAAGTCTTTCCAACAAGGTAGGGCAAAAGCTGATCTTGCTAGTTCTTATATACAACTGGGTCAATGAGATAACAGAGTAGGGCCATTCTGACCCAATTATCATCATAACTGTTAACCAGTTTCATAGTTATTTGGAAGAAGGCGTCAAAGTAATCAAGTATCACAGCTCTGATCGACCAAAGGATATCAAGCAGATCGCAGATTCAGATATCGTTGTGACTACGTATAGTACTCTCACTGCCGAATTCCAACAAATCAAATCGAGACGATCTCTCCTTCATTGTGTCGACTGGTATAGAGTCGTCCTCGACGAAGGTGAGAACTCGTCCACCCCCTTTCCTGTCCCTTTAGTATATCTAACAGTAGATAGCGCACATTATTCGGCGTCGGGCTACAGCATTCTATCACGCATGCGACGCAATACACGCCAATTCAAGATGGTGTCTCACAGGAACACCTATTCAAAACAAGCTCGCCGACATTGGAACTCTTTTCGCATTCATACGTGCCGACCAGTTTCTTAAACCGGCTGACTTTCGGAAGCACATAGAGGTCCCTTTTGAGCAGGTTCCCGAGAATGAGTCGCCGACATTGGCTAAGGACCGCCTTGTTCTGCTGTTTCAAGCGTTCTGTTTGCGTCGCACGAAAGAAATAGTCAAACTACCTCGATTACGAAAAACGGTGCGAAAACTGAGTTTCTCCGCGGAGGAACGCCAGCAATACGAGAATACAAAGAAGATTCTGCTTCGCATGATTCGTCACCGTGTTGGTGAGGTTGAGCAGAACTCTAAATTCGGAATTTTCCAGGTCAACTTACAGATGCGTCTGTTTTGCAACCATGGAACTTACCAGCAACCTTTCTCCTGGCACCGACAAACCTACAGGGATGAATGTAAGGAGGCCCTTGTCTCGGCCTTTGGTCAAAGCAGCGAGATTACGTGTGCTGGTTGCCAGATGCCAATGCCAATCCTCGGGTCTAGCCAGTTAAACAATAGCTTTTATGAGCAATGCGCTCATGTCTTATGCTCTGAGTGCATCGAACAGTCGAATACGCCGAATGATGGAGGGCAAGCTCAACATTGTCCCGTATGCATACGATGGGTGAGGCATCCAATGGTTGAGAGCGGTGCAGTGATCGACGATGACAGTGTTACAAACCGCCACTCCAAAGATAAGGTCGGGGACGGTGAAGATTATTTCAATAAGGAGGGCTATTCGACAAAGATGAATGCGTTGATTGAGGATGTCCGTCGCGATCTGAAGTCCAAAAGGTAATTTTACCAATCCCTTACCAGATGATTAAGTCTAATATGCGTAGTATTATATTTTCATGTTGGACTCGGACACTGCAACTTCTTCGGAGATATCTTGACCAGGCTGAGATTCCATATCTTGATATCGATGGCAACTGCTCTCTTACGGAACGAAAAGATAAGCTCGCGCAGTTTAAGGATGATGACGAAAAGCCAGTGCTCATCATGACAACTGGAACTGGTGGCTTTGGGTACGTTAAATCTCTCAATCACTTCTGGTCTTTGTATATACACTGCTAACTCACTGCAAGGCTGAATATAACTTGCGCCAGTCGCATCTTCATTGTCGAGTTGCAATGGAACCCCGCCGTAGAGAGTCAGGCCATCGCGCGCGCAATTCGGCTTGGACAGGAGAAAGATGTACATGTGACGCGCTACATGATCAAAGATACAGTTGAAGAGGTGTGTTGTCATCGGATTTTGCCGTCTCAATTTGTATTAACTGTAATATAGGACATGGGATCCCAGCAACAGTCCAAGAATCAACTCGCCAGCCTAGTAGATGCAGGGGATGACATGGACTGGTTTGAAGAATAGGGACAGGTAGTAGAAGGCGCCGGTGTATAAATTAGTAGCTCTCATACGTGTGCTAGCTGAGATTAAAACTCTCTGAAGCTGTAGTAGACCCCTTTCTCTATACATAGCCTCGATATTTGATCCGGATCGCGGTTGAAGACTAAACATCACCCAAGGTTCTAGCCTATCTCCAATATCACTAACAGACCGGATAAACATGTTTCATCCACGTTCATATTCCACGCTATTCTCGTAATTTGGCCCATTCCACCACGCGGTTTGTATACTCTGATGGGGGGATTCCCATGAGACCCTCTTTGAGAAACGCAATGTGACCGGCATTTTGGTCTACATGGATGTTGACTGTACCTTGATGTTTATCCTGCCTTTTATTAATCCCCATACTTGGTAATACAGAGCAGTTGAATGGGTATGCCGATTCTCACCTTGATTATTTGAGCAAGTTTGGCGATGTCCTCTTCAAATATTTCCAATCCGCCTGAAACAATGGTGATCGCCCCAGCCGGTAAAGCTTCGAACCAGTCCTCATGAATCACCGACAATGGAGCAAACCATGGGTTGATGAGCTCGACATCAGGGTCATGGGAACCTTTAATGACGTTCCACATTTGAGCTACCTCATCCACGCCAACCAAATCGCGACCAAGATTTTTACTCGCAGTTATAGCTGGCGTAACCATTGGCGTGGTGGGAGATATCATCAAGATTCTTCCAAGGCTATGGCCCGACGAGATAGAGAGTGGGGGGACTTTGGGGTGCGGATGCATGACGTGAAGGAGGAGAGAGAGAATCAGCAATCCGCCAACACTGTCTCCATACAAGTCGATCTACAGATGTCGAAGACGTTAGCACAAGGTCAAAAGAGTAATAGGGAAGGACTAACATCTTTGGAATCTCGACCATGCATAAGGTGAGTGACGAACGCGACCAGTTGGCGTAGCTGGGTTGGATAGGGAGCACTCGGGCATATATCTGAGACAGTTAGGAAGCCAAGGCAGATATGAAGATGTTCTAAACACTTACCATAAGCAAGCACTGCAAGTGCAACATCATCGCCACTTGCAATCGCAGCTTTATACATTTCGTAGGCCAAGCCAAAATGGAAAGTGGACGCATACATGACCAGCCCACCACCATGCATGTGTGCTATCACTCTCTTGGCTGAAGGCGAGCCAAACCATAACGCCGAGCCACCCCCTGGAATCTCTTCTTTCGCAGAAGGGATGTCATGTTTTTGAACAAATTGATCGTATTGATCAGCTGTATGAACTGTAAAGCATTGTCTAGCAATCCGGTCAGATGAAGTAAAGTCCATGTGTTGGGAACACAAACTGCATCAAATCTTGCACTGTCATAGACATCTTCGCGTTTTTAAAATATAATCTTTGGAAAATAGTATGAGTGTTTATGTTGTTCATTTATAACCTGGATCAGTCAAGAGTGCAAACTCAACATCTTATATATCTGCACAACCAACAGCTTATAAATGCAACACAGGCCCCTTGACATCTTAGGCAAGCTACATCACTTCAATGCGACTCCTAATGGATCGCTCTCAAAAGTTATCATATTTGAGTCATCTCGTTATGTAGCTTTTCATTCGCTGCGACTTCCACTTTTGGATTGATTAGAATGTTAGAAGAATAATTGCTAAAGCAATACGCGGCGCTTCTCGCGCCAGGCCATAATAGCGGCATTTGTCAACTGGCCACACGACAATACCTCGGTTTAAGATCTTGACCGAGTTGTGCCTAATCCAACACCAATACAAATGTAGAAATAGCAGCGAAGTTATACAACGCTTCGTGGCGAGAGTTAAAGCCAATGCCTCTTTAACCCCAAGCTTGCGGAAACTTCTAAATCCGAGCCAACTCAGCAAACCAGATAACTAGTCTCGAAGTAGAAGTAGCGACGAGGTTTCTAAACTGCGGGGCTGCTCTTCGAAGAAGACGATACCACTTTGATGACCAAGTCTGAGAACTATGTATTACTGATTGCGTGAACTTATGACAGCGGCATCAACATTCCTTTTACTAAACATACTGTACTCATGAAGGCTACACCCTCCAGAATGTCTCCATTAGTATATAAGTCGATCCCAAATCAGCTAAACGCCATATACTTCTTGGCAGTTCCTCCTCCATTCAAGCATAGGCGCAACTACACACACATTTCTCTTCTTTTCCGCAATGACCGAAGCCCCAAAAACAATTTCAGGGGAATTCCCCTTTGAGAAGAAGAAAGTTCAAATTTTGGGCTCCCAAATGGCATATGTTGACGTGGGAACCTCTGATCGAAACTCAGCAGTCACCGTGTTCTTGCACGGTGTCCCTACGTCTTCGTATCTATGGCGAAACATCATTCCGTATGCAGCTGCAAAGGCTCGTTGCATTGCCCCAGACTTGGTTGGATTTGGAGATTCCGACAAGGTTCCTGAGGCATATTTTTTCGAGGACCATCAGCGGTACATCGACGCCTTTCTAGATACTGTCTTGCCAACCCAACCAATAAATCTCGTCATTCATGACTGGGGATCAGCACTCGGGTTCAATTGGGCTCGTAGAAATGGGAACCGCCTTGCCGGTATTGCCTTTATGGAATTTATCCACCCCATAGCGAATTGGAGCGACTTACCAGTTGTTATGGTGGAGAACTGGAAGAAGTTCCGAGATCCAGATACTCGAGTCGGTAGAAGCCTGTTAATCGATCAGAACGTCTTTATCGAGCATCTTCTTCCCGGTGGTATGGTGCGGCCATTGACCGATGAGGAAATGAACGCATACCGCAAGCCCTTTCTACAGCCCGAATGGCGTGAGCCAATCTATCGACTTCCCAACGAGCTTCCTATAGAGGGCCAACCTGAAAGTACATGGTCCTGTGTAGAGAAATACATGGAATGGTTAGTCGCCAGCGACAAGCCGAAACTTCTCTTCTGGGCCAGACCCGGAGGACTTGTGTGGGAGGCAAAAGCGGAGGAGTTTGCGCAAAAATTGAAGAACATAAAGGTCGTGTATTTAGGAGAGGCGATTCATTATGTACAAGAAGACCACCCGCATACGATTGGCCGTGAATTGGCTGACTGGCTACCTCTATCTTCAGACTAGATGTATGTCAAGACACAGGATTGAGTTCTATACGTGTAGATAGTCCCAGCATTTACAAATAAGATTCTCCTATATCACACCTGTGATGGCCAAGGTCCATACTTACTCATGATTTTAGTGCCTTCGCCCTAATTAATATAGACTTTCATACTATGATGTCAATATGTAGGTAATGGCCAGGAATATTGTAAGCAAAGGTGGGCAAAGAGCCTCATAACCCTGATTCAGTCTCTACGTATTCACTCCGTCATATAATTAACATCAATCCAAAATCTGCTACGCGTCTATAGTTGTGTTAAAGCTTTGATCTTGGGCTAGGGACAAAGTACGGGAATGTTCGATTCACAACTACCAGACGTGTGTATCAGGTTCTAACTGTACAACGCAATATGTCTTGCCCCTTTCTGCACAGCTGTAAGCCAATGTATGCTTTTTCCCTATTCTTCAAATACTCGGCATCCTTCTGTAAAAGATTATCATGATTAGTAGAGAGTAGGCGTGTAAAGTACTGTTCCGCTAGTTCCGCGGGAATGTGTGACATTGTGCAACCTTCTAAGGTCGAGCTGAGGTGAATCACGGTCTGGCAAAGGTGTATCGCGAATTCGTTTACAGTTTCAAGACGCATGAATAAAGACGGTGAATCGGCACTCAATACTCCGAGACAGGATGCGTAAGATGAGTTGTGATTGATCAACTGGCGCACCTCGAGAATTGTGCTTGAAAGTTCCAATAAGCTGGACCAGTAATAGATGACAATCCCCGGAATCGAAGGGTTTGAGAAATGTATTACCGAAGAATAAATATCCTCTTTTAACTTATCTCCGTGGCGATGTTCACGGCTTTGATGGGGATTTGCCTCGTCTGAGTACCACCAGACGCGGCCCCCCTCAGATTCCTCCAGAGATTGTAGCCAACAGTGAAGCTTTCGAATTATTGAATCGCAATCTCTGAAATATTCGATAAATCTGAGAGATTGAGTGCTTTGGTGACAATTATCATCTGTTGCGCCGAGATTCGCCGTTTCCTTCAGCTCTATCGAACCAAGAAGTTTTAACTGATCGCCGCGCTCGAGAAGACCGGGTATATGAGCAACAATGTCAAATAACAGTTGCCGACGATTTTTAATTAATAATTTGTTGGTACTAGTGAGCCACTGGTCCGAAGCGAGAAATGTCGCTTTACGGCTTTTTAATGCTTCGCCTATCTGTGTAATAAGAGCATCAGCGTCCGCCATAACAGAACTAAGTTATATATCAAGCTATCAACTTACCGCCCCGCACCGAAGATCTGTGTAAGCCGCTTTTGTAATGGGGGATTCTAAGGCTTCTGGGCCTGAATTTTTGATAAGATCAAGGGCCCCATTAAGGTGAAAACGATATCCTTCCCCCTTCGAACCATTGGCCAGCCACTAGGTGATTGTCAGAGCATAGGCAAAGATGAGGCTTTGACCTCGTGAACTGCAAGGCACTTACCTCATAAAAGAGTAAAGTCAGTGCAATCGCTATTGCACGGACTGTTCTATTTGTCCGGCTTGCTTTTGGCCCAAAACCAAGGGCCAGCTCGGAGCGAAACCGACTGAGTGCTCGAGGATAGGCCGCCAAGGCAAGACCTTGCAATTTGTTATCACTCTTTAGCTTTCCCATGAACATTGCAGCAACGGCAAAAAGGGCAGAATCTAGAGTCTTGCTTCCAAATGCGAGTGGGAGAATTTCCCGTGCACTGCTCGACATTGGCGATTCGACATTCTGATCGGGAGGAATGGTAGCCGGGTGGCACATCACAATCCAGAGATCAGCCACAGCAGAACGATATAGATCCATGGAGCAGTCCAGAGAGGAAGGTATTGAAATGGGGGCTATCGGTTTATTGGCTTGAACATTATCATGCAACTTTTTGACAGTTGCTGTGGATAGTGTTGTAATGTCCAAATGCCGGTTTTTGAATGCGTGGCTCAGCAGTTTCCTATCCGACACTCGGTGAATATTATTCACATCTCGGTGAACAAATACCGATCCTGCCGTTGGGCCGCTACACTCGATACCACTTACAAGACATCTTGCGCAACTCGGCTGTCCAAGATCGCACTTTTACACGTTAATTGACTGTAAAATCGAAATGGACATCTGCGAAAATGCTGTGTTGAAATGGAGAGGAGCGAACCTTAACTCGGCGCACGCTACACTGTTTGCAGCGTTTAGATGTGCCCGGAATGTTAACCATGGCCGGGAGAAGAGAGCCAATCTCGACTAAATGAGGAGTCTATATGAGCCGGCATATGTGTACGGTGATTTTCATTTCAAGAATTAATATGGAATACGCAACATCCTAAGGAATCATTGGATGAAATCTCAATGTTCATTCAGTTGGCGGTGTCGTGAATATTCTAGCGCTTACTCCGTACATGCCAACAGGAGGCGTCAACTATGGTCTGTTTCGGAAAGGATTAATATTCCTCCTGACGGGCGGAATTGAATGATATATCCCAATCAAGCCATAATAAATGTAAACAACTCGCCGATAAATGAATGTAGACAAGATTGCGTCCGAGTCATATATCATGTAGAATAATATAGTATTGTTGAAGGGCTGGGTATAGCAGCTATTGGTCTTGCTAATCCTATAATGTTCATCTTCATATCCGCGTCTCTATTTCAATATCGAATAACTAGGGTAGGCATTAACGCGAATAAGGAAAATGGTGCCAATGCTAATGTTGACATACAACTCTGCTGGAGATTGTCTTGACATTTTAGTATGCATGGAATCACAAAATCTTAAATGAACTGGCTCAACACTTCTCTATAATTATATAAAACTCTATCCAAGGTTTCTATCTACTAGTAATTATAATAACTTCTGCTCGTCTGATTACACCTCGGACCTCGGAGGTTGTTTATATACCATGTATCGAACCCCGAACTGACCGTCGCCGCCGTACATGGAATCATCTTGGATAAGTTCTTGCTCAGTACTGAATCCAAGTCGGCCATATACCCCCCACCCATGTCTAAACGCAAGAACAAAAATATCCAATCCCAGCTTTTCTGCCTCCTTCATACCGCTCTGCACCAATTGGGTAGCGATTCCTTTGCCTTGATTTTCGGGGTGGACGGCCAAATATTCAAGAACTATTATTTGTAACGGTTCAGTATCTCTCCCATAGTCGAATCATTATGCTCACCCACCAAAATATGTCTTCCCTTCCAGAAGCTCGTTTTTAATTTTCGTAACATTGTTGTCTAGATGGTCCGTTTCGTTGTTCGCATTCCATGGAGTTGCCTCAGCGATCCGTTTGATCTCTTCTGCTTCCTCCGGTCCTACTACTGGACCTAAAGCCTCTGGCCAAGTCGGCCGACCGTCCGCAGTAGTAGCATGTGAATCAGGCAGAACCCAGCGAGCATAACCCACGAGCCGTCCGGTTTGAGGGTCAATGGCCTTCTGATGTCGGGCAGTTGCGTGATCACTTATCAGTCTACGCGGATAGCGTTTGGTAGTTATATCAATCTGCTTTTCCAGTGTACTGTCTTTCCATGCCAAGACCCAATTAGGATTTTGCCAAAAAGCTGATATATTGTTTCGACTCAAATCTGCGCTGTCGCTGAGGCTAACTGGAGCAAGAGTGTAGGTAGCCATTTCAAAGAAACGAATAAGACCTGATACAAAGATGCATTGGCGGACAAAGTCTGGTGTAAGTATTGCTGTATATATACTCTAGGGAAGATGATGCCACATATGTGATGGGCGGCGATATTGCAATCTGTTCTCAACCTTTGAACGCGCGTTTCACTCTCTATCAGCGAAGGAATCGAGAGAACCCCGCAGCCTAGTCCAGCATTAGCTCAGCACGGAATTTCTATGTTGGGTGAGTTGATAAATGCTTGGAACCAGCATTTCCATTCTAAGCTCAAAATAGGCAAAGCCGAAGCGACATGCGGTTCGATTGGCAGTAGAGCAGGATCTGGGATCGGACACCTGACCGAGGTCTTTTTATGTAATTGCGTAGGGTAGGCCTCTATGTAATGTCTTGATAATATTTGTCAAAAATGCGCGATAACAAAAAGAGTACAGAAACCTTGTATGTGATATAAATCGCAGGCGTATATGCCAGGTCCAATGCTTCCCGATTGTGCGATGTCTCAGATGGGTGGAAAAGGTCAACAGTCCGAAAATGTGCGGTCGTCCTCACCTTGTAAGCAGTGCTTCAAATATTCACCGGATGCGCACATCATGCCAACAGGTCCCATCTGCTGCAGTAGCAAGAAACTTGTGGCTCTGGCCGTCGAATAGTTGAGAATCCTGAAATCAGCCTCGCGCTGGGTCTACGTCGTATTATACTCGGCAAACCGGATTTCAGACGGAAAAAACTGGAAGGAAAAAATAAGCATGCAGGCCTGCAAGGTAATGAAGATGATTACTAATACAAGTACTATATATGCAGTATTACAACTCCTCGTACTGGTTCTTCCCTAGCGGTCTGGGACTATAAAGTGTCTTATATAGATGATGGCTGAAGATGCATTTCTCCATCATATAATCACCCACGATAGAGAAATCTTGGGTGCTGTTTACCTTTTTTTTAAGCTGCAGGCTAGTATCGGACCGGACATTCTAAGGCGCGTTAAGTAAACACTTCGCTTAGGTACATGTATTGTGCATACAAACATTGTCAGCTTTTAGTGGATAGAACTGACGAAAGAGTGTCAGATGTGCGGGTTGCGAATACGTGCTGCCTTTTTTGGGAACGCAACTCCTTCTTGTTGCGATCATATCCCCTTGCATAAGTACATGTCGTCTGTCCAGTACTTATACCACACTTCTCCGCTCTTTTTCCTGGCCTTCTCACCGACAACAATCACGACCGAATAAACTATGGCGACTTCTTGCGAAAGCGAGAATAGCGCATTATTTAAATGGCTATCAGAATATTTACACAACCTTTTGTTCCAGCCAGATGATGAGCTTGCATTCAATACATTTGAGACTTGTGTGGCAAAGGATGTGACCATGAAGTAAGTTGTGCCGCCCGGCGCTGCATTCATGTAGTTCCTCCATAAAAGCTAACTGGGACGCGATATCAGAATTAATCATGACTACATCCCTCGCCAAGCGTACTTTGAGCATATCATGGATGATCGTGCTTGCCATGGCCTGGCCCTCATCAGCCAAAAGCAGCTCAAAGTGTGGGAAGCGCCTGGAGGGGGTGGTTCCATCATCTACGAAGGGGAACTTGTGTACAACGATAAGAAGACGGGAGAAAAGGAAGTCTGCGCTTTTGTCATGATTGCAGATATAAGCAAGGGAGACGACGGCAATTTCACAATTGTGCATTCCACAGAGATGTGCCACGCCAAGTTCAAGGAAAATTGACGCTTTCACTTAGAATGATGTGGTAAGCAATCGATGCGTTATTTAGAAGGGCTATAATAGTACAGCGGCTCTTCCATCGCTGTCTACGGCATTCTCATCTGCTTCTTGCTCAAGGGAATATCTACCCTTTGTTGGCGTTTCGCAGCTGTTAAGAACAGGGATCTATATCCACTCAAATGCTTAGCCAGAATATGGGCGTCAGTTGCGACAGGAATAAAGGTTTTCTCTTTTTGGCTCGAGGCGGAGGCAAAGTCTACATCGACCATTGCTCAACTGTATCCGTTTAATGTTCGTGTCGCGTTGAAACAAAAGTTTGATAGCTTTTCATACCTGTTTCTAGATGCAAATGGTGACAGATTCCATGTACAGCTTTTTTTCTAATGACATCAGTTGTGTGCGCGAAATGGGGGGTTACATTCGCATTTGAAGACCTTTGAAGTTTTTTAAACGCTGGGAATATGCACCAGCCACTACAACGGGGACCCGGTCCTTTCATCAGACCATAAATCTTCCGAACCCGCATATAAACTGTTAAAACAAAAGGGTTCGATGCCCAGAGGCTATTGAGCCTCATAAAAAGTGAGTTTGGAAGAGCTTCTCTACAAAAAGCCTCGCTAGTCTTGAACGGATGACTGCTCTTGCAATATCTACGTGTGTACATTTTTGCTAGGAGCTACACGAGTTTAAAGATTCCTGAGTATAAAGCACAAAGGCTTTGCCAGACGCGTGACTCATGAGATTCATATATATCTGCATTTTGTTGATTGCGTCAAGGAATCATGTTTGCGATGGCAAGACAAGCCCCTCTTCAATCTGAGAAGAACACACAATGAACATTACTCGTACATCTTCAAGCTTCTCCTATGCTGGGCAAAAATGCTGTGTCTCTCCGTTTCCAAACTGTTGGTTTGGTCTTACGATGTCCAGGCGCCAGTGGCTATTTCCGAGATTACCTCTCCACTTTGGCCCAAGTAGATCAAGATCCATTAGCCTAAAGAACTGTTTCCATCGTCAGCCCTGACAGAGCCAGGAACACGGACGAGCTGAGAAAGACTAGTGTCCGCTAGTTCAAATAGTTTGCGGCACTATTCAGGGACATTGACAGCAAAATGGATCCCGTCCCACGATTTGCAGGGGTATTTCTGTTGAAGACTCGATCAAATCGTTGCTAGTGAGTAATTTCAAGCCAGCTACCCATCAACCCAAATTCAATAGAGCCATGGGGCTTTGGCAGACCTCAGGAGATGAAGAAACTAGTGTTTTCCATCGTGAGATGATTCCCTTTATAAACCGAAATGGCGTGCCGATGCAAATTCTTCTCCCCAAGGCATGAGTGATCTCTCATTCATCGGGCCCTTGATATTCTTTTGAGTTTTCTTCTTCTATTTTAAAAGTCAACATGCTGAACAAGATTATTTTTGGTGCGCTTGGCCTCGTCGCCGGCGTGGCTGCAACTCCAGTGGAACTTATCGAGCGGAACTCCTGCAGAGATGACAGTCTGTATAAGTGTTTCGTCAGCAGAGAATACTCCCATTCGGCTTCTGCCTATTGCTCTGCTCTCGCTCCGGCTACACAAATAGTCACAGTTGCGGAGCCTACGGTGTTAGTCATCGTTTGACATACTTGATATCAGAATCGTGTAAGAATCAGGGCATTAACGTTGTAGGTAGAACATCAACTCTGTGGATCACCAGCACCGCCGCTGCCACGATCAACTTCCTCAGCTCGACAACCACCGTTTATACAGCCACGGTCCCTTCCTCCACAGAAACAGCAATCGAAACGGATTTTGAGACTTCTATCGAGACTGCTATCATTACTGCAATTGCGACTGCAATCGAGACAGACGTTGTCACCGTAACCGAAACAGACACTCAGACTACAACTGAGACAGATATTCAGACTGCAACTCAATCTGCAATCCAGACTGTAACTCAGACCGCAACCCAGACTGAAACTCAGACCGTGACAGCAACAGCAACTGTCACTAGTGGTCAGCAGCAGCCGCCACCGCCGCCTGTCACTACCCATGCTCCATTCAAGCGTGTTGTTCATGATGGAAAGCCGGGGCAGCCCAAGTGTATGGTCACCAAGTGCTTCGTCTACTCTCCAGAGCGTATCACTGCCGCTTGTGATTGTATCAATGTGCCGCCCAAGACGGTCACAGTCTCTCAGACAGTTCCTGCCGCGACTGTTACAGTGGTATGACCATCTTTCCCCAATACTCTTATCTTATTCATCGGAGATGTTGCTAACTGAGATAGACCTCGACCTCAGTAATTACACCTGGCGTTACAGCACCAGCATGGCAAACTGTGGCGGCAGAACTTGATAGTGGTGTTGCAACTGCCACGGCCATTGTCACAGACATCATCACAAATGCTGTTACAAACACCATGACAAACACCATCACCAATACCGTTACGAACACCGTCACGAGCACTGTCACAAGCACTGTTACAGCTACTGTTACGAGCACCGTGACGGCCACCATTACTGCTACTGTCACAGCTACTGTCTCAGCCACTGTCACGACCACTACTACCACGACCACGACCGTCACCGTCACCCCCACGCCAGTCAACCACATCCCCAACGGTGATTTCTCGGCCGGTCTGAGCCCATGGGCGACCTCGTCGAGTTCCTCCAGCGCGTGGACAAACACTGGCGTGAGCAATGCAAACAGCCCCGACGGCAAACTAAACGCTTTCCATACCACCAACATCCGCAATACTTCACCACTCATCGTCGTTAGCGCTCCCTTCAAACTGCAGGTGAAGTCTGCATACCAACTTTCTTTCATGATCGCAACCACCTCTACCGACAGGAGCTGGAAGAACAAAGTCACGGCCTCGATTGTCTGCGGTTCGACGTCGCTTGATGTCCCAAGTTTCAACCAGGCGACGTTAGGTCCCGGTGCGTACTATACAAGCACGAGCATTATCAACACTCCCGTCACAAACAGCGCATCGACCATGAATCAGTTGAATAGCTGCCTGCTGAAGGTTGGGCTCCCTATTACTTCGACGGTGCCATCTACGTGGTACCTTGCCGATATTGTCCTCCAGTTCGACCATTCTGTCAATAGGTCGTAGAAGCGACTTGAATTTCGGCAGTTTACATGGACAAATACAGCATATGGAGAGTAGCGTGCAAACATACCTAGACACATTCATTCGATTATATTAGTCACGTACATATATGTAATAATACTTTATGGCAGCTTCCACGAGCCTTGATTCTGTTGTGTTCCATGCATAGTTGTAGATGTGATGTGCTTGTCTCTGATTTGTTGCATGTGATTGCGATGATGCTGAAACAAGACTATAAATAAATTAAATGACATCAGTGCAAGCTTGACCCAACTCTCCAACCTCAAATATTTCGCCTCGCAACTCAGCAAGACAAGATCGTTTGTAATTTAAAAAAAAAATAAAGGAAAATATTATCTCACACCACAGTGGAAGAATAATGCGATGCCTTTTCTCGAGCGTTTCGAGCCGACACTCAGCGATGTCTTGGTCGTGCGCGCCATGCTGTCCCAAGCTGTGATTCTGCCAGAGCTTGTCGGGAACATCTTGGACTACGCCGAGTATTGGGCTCGATCATCTACCAAAGCTCGCCCGCAATTTTCTGTTCATGCAGAACAAGTTGGTAGTGGTGAATTTGACTTCCAAGGGTCCATTTTCTTGGTGAGTGTCACTGATGAGGTCAATCGAAGCTCTTTAAACTCATGAGGCTATTCCTATACAGCTACGATCCTTTCCTATCGGGCTCACGCACGACGTGATTGGCAATGAAGACGGCGGCTTTCTCCGCAGATTTTATCAGACCGAAGGAATTGCCGCATGGCCTGTTGAGGAAGAATACGATCGAGAGTTTTTTCAACAGCTGATTAGAAACACTTCTACGCATAGCAACCCCGTGCGGAAAATCGTCTTTCGCATCCGCAGCCACGACCAAGGATGGACCACAGACGAGAGGACGGGCCCATTTATCGATGCCAAAACTTGGTTCGAAGCTGGTATTGAGAGATTCGATGCTAGCCATGAGTGTAAGTTCCATTTCCCACGAGGTATGCCAACGAGACGCCATTTGGATATACTAATGCCTCCTGCAACAGGTAATCGATGCCCAGATATAAAGACTCTACCAGTTTGCAAGCTAAGAGCAGTCGAGCCCAAGCCGGAAAATTCAGTTAGCCGTCAAGGTGTTGCTGGGTATCGCTATGGACATTCGCCCTGGAAAGGCCCCCGGGAAATCCTGCGCAATAAAGTGGCCTCTTCGGAATGGACAGCCCGCGAGGTGACTTGGACTTGCTGGGACGTCGTCGCTCCAGGCTCGAAAGAAGCGCAGCAAGCGATGGAGGAGGGCAAAGGGCAGATGGACGGCGACGGCCAATTCGTGCGAAGTCTCAAACTGGGCGATGTGGTCACGGTGTGGGGGAGGGCAATGCATCGCGGATGGGTGAATGTGGTAGACACGGTCGAGATGGACGTTTATTGGGCACTTTAGATGGAACCAGAATCCAAGACATGGAGAGATTATCCTTGTCGATGCCATCAAGTACCGAGCCGTGAATGGCATTACTGAGAAGTACCGGCGAAAATAACGATCCTTCAGCCAAACAGCTGTATATAAGGTGGCTGGGGATCTGGATGGCTTCAAGCTCGGACGGCTGCCTAATCTCGTCTTACAACCGTGCAACCTCAATCTCGCTGTCCATTTTCCGCGGAGAATAAATTCCCCTCTGAATGCCGCTTCCCTGCCTATCGGGCAATTCACTACGACACGGTGCCTCTCGGTGAGTGACGTGACTGAGAATCGAGCGGCCAATCACCCGTATAGCCATCGAGACTGGATCCAAGGAACTGTAGCGTGCACTTTCGATTGGCGGAAGATATTCGTAATTCACCAGATAAATCAAGACACATAGTAACCGCGTGTGGCTGTTAATTTGATGGCCTTTGCAGCTTGTACCCGTTTGGTTGCATGTTACTAGTGATGCAGCATGTGTTTCTCATTGCGCCCTATATCTATTCAATTACACACTATCTTGATGTTCTCAAGGCAACAAGGGTGGTTACTTTTACCAGGAATTATACCTACAGTATAGTGTAAAGCCAAATCGAGTCAACGCCGACTCAGGGGATCCGTTTCGTGTAACCTGATTTGCTCGCACGATCCGTCAATACAGCTGAGTTTAGGCTTCAGTATCACCAAGACAGCTGTATATCGGGTCAGACTCGAGATAGTACGGTCAGATCACGGTAGAAATGGCCGAAATACACGTATAGATATTTGGTTTATAGCCGTGCTGTTGTTTGACTGGCCGGAAACGCGATGGCTGCCTAGCAAGCCTAGGAATTCCATGGCCCGGCTCGGTTTGTGGCAAGCTGAACTACCCTACTCTCCACTATTTTGAATCATTGTCCGTGTTGGTTATCCGTGTAATTGAGAGTGTGTTATAGTAACTGAAGGATATATAAACTGTTGAAATCTCTGGTGAAAAAATGTTTTGCCATCAACATCGGCAACTGCAATTCACTTGAACCTTGTGGGGACCTTGCCTTCTCAGATCGTCCTCACCGCGCCAACGAAAACACTCTCTGATCTTTCTCCCTAAATCTTCAACAAATGTTTGCAAACTCTCAGCAACTTCGCCCTCAGGGCCTTTTCAGTCAAAGAGAAAGAAAAGCAGACCACTCAAAAGTCACAATGTCATCTACCGACGCAGCTATCGCCTTGGCTGTCCCCAATGAGGAGCCGTCTTCTGTTGTCACAAGACTCTACCAGCAAGGCTTCGTCCACTGGTCGCGGTTCCACTCTGAACAAGAGCATCAGGTTGCACTGGAGAAACAGATGGCCGAGATGCCCATCGTCCACCGCTTTATTCACTCTGGCACTTCCTGGATCACCGAATCCTTCACCATCAACGGTCCCTTCATGCGCAAAATCCTTCTAGAGGTCCTCGAAAACTATCAGGACCTCGATCTGGAATGCGAGAACTGGACTTTTCGCTCTCCTTACATACCTCTTGTCCATCGATGGCAGCGACTCCAGGATTTTTGCCAGAGCACTTCGAACCCTGACTTGAGCGAGGCTGGCCAGCAGCTGATCAAGTTTCTCCTTCCCATCGTTGGTCCTTCAGTCAATTCTCTCGAGCAGACTCGCCTCACGGGCAAAGTTCAGTTCGACTTTCTCTGGCAGATCTTTCCTCCCGGCGAGCTTGTCATGACGAAGATGTACGGCCAGGACGCCATTTGCCGCGTTCTCAAGCACCACAAGGTTGAAGAAACCTACTCCTGCCCTGCCTATTGGATCATTGACATGGAATATGTCGACTGGAATGGCGACAAATGCGGTTTTACGACGATGAAGACCAAGATTGGTGGCTACGATGGCTATCGCCGTGCTCATTTGCTTCCCACTTGGCCGATTTCCTTTGACAGCGACCCGGATGCAATCAAGTCCAAGATGATTGCTCGCGGCCGTCAGTTTGAGGAATTGAGGACATATCACTTTATGCAGTACGAAGGTCGGAAGATTGTTACAAGAGGCAACGCAAAGGAAGAAGAACCAGTAAGTCCTTGAATCCCGTAGCGCAGGTTAATGCATTCTTCTAACATGCCACACTCCTAGGCTTCCGGTCGAGTTGTTGTCGATGCTTTTGCCTACTACGCCAGCTGCAAGGTAGTCAAGCCAAACCTCCGCCCTCTCGACTCCGAAGAAAAGCCCAAGGCAGACGAATCCAGCGAAGACGAAGACGGTTACAAAGTCCGACGCCCCCGCCGCCGCTCCGACGCAAGCACCAGCAGCTCGGAGGAGGAGGAGGAATCTGCTGCCATTGACGAGCTCAAGCTCACAGTCAAGAGTTCCGAGACAAAGTTTGAGCGCAAGGAAGATCTCACTCCTCTTACCGACGAGCAGTGCCTCCTTTGCACGCCGTGGGTCAACGGTTTCGATCTCAAGGCCAAGGAGTGGGGTTTGTTCCTCGTGGAGAAGATGAAGGACATTGTCTGGAACGATGATGCTTTCTCAAACTTGGTCCTGCCTGGCGATGAGAAAGAGCTTGCCTGGTCGTTTATCGACAACAAGAACTTTGCAAACTCAGACTTTGACGACTTTGTCACCGACAAGGGCCGCGGCATTATCATCCTCATGTTTGGTCCCCCAGGCGTTGGAAAGACGTATACGGCTGAGGCAGTGGCAGAGAAGGGCCGAGTTCCTCTCTATGCCATGAGTGCCGGCGCTCTAGGAACCAAGCCCAATGAGGTCGAAGCATCATTGGACCGAGCTCTTGAACTCTGTCGTCTCTGGAACGCAATGCTGCTCCTCGACGAAGCAGACGTGTTCTTAAGCGCTCGAAAGGAAGACACTCTCGCACGCAACGAGCTGGTCTCCATCTTCCTGACCAAGCTCGAATACTACCAGGGTATCCTCTTCCTGACCACCAACCGCGCCTCGAGTCTCGACCACGCCTTCCAGTCTCGCGTCGATCTCTTCCTCCCATACAGTGACCTCACCACGACCGCCCGCCGCCAAGTCTGGCAGAACTTCATCAAGCGCGCCGGCGGCGAGACACGATTCAAAGTTGCTGAGGAGGACTACGATCAACTTGCAGAGCTGAGGCTGAATGGCCGTGAGATCAAGAATTTGATCAAGAGCGCGAGACTGCTCAACATGAAGAGTGGACAACCTGTGACGACTGCTCGATTAGCCCAGTTGGCGGAGAAGAGGATCACGGCGATGGAGATGCTGAATGACGGAGAGTAATTTATGTGACTGAGACTATGGATTGATTTGTGGCATATCACGAGAGATGATTATGGATTTTAGGAGCTTCGTTTCGCATAGCACAGAAACCAGTTTACCACGTTTTCAATGACAGATACGCATTTTACGAATCATTTAAGAGGCAGTTACCAGCGTAGTAAACCATTATGAACTATATCACCACCTACTTAGAAGTTGGCGGATATTTCAACTGAAAGGGGCCAAACCAATTGTCGAAAATATTCATCTGCAGGCATACAAACACCTACCAGTTGTCAGAATGAAACAACAAAGTGCAGAGATTTTGAAACAATAGCAGAATGCTTCCAATTCCATCTCCAATTTGCAAGAGCAACAACAAAACAGATGATTTGCCAACTACAGTAGAGAGAGTCAGCCAAGGTGCTCCCAACTCTCTTCATAACCAAGCCTCAACATCAACATCAAACACCAAGAGTTTAACGCAGCAATACTTCAACACTACTCAACATCCACCAACTAATTCATCCCGCAAAATGCATCACACACCCCGAACCGGCAACGAATCCCGCTTCACCAACTTCAAATCCTTCGTCAACGAATTCTTACACGTCCCCGTCACCACAAACTCATCCACATTCCTCAACGTGCAATCCGCAATCTCCATCAACGCCTCCTCCGTGAAGAACGCCTGGTGCCCCGTCACAATCACGTTGTGAAACGTCATCAACCGCATCAACACATCGTCATGGATAATCTCCCCCGAATGGTCATCGTAAAACAGCGATCCCTCACCCTCGTACACGTCCAGCGCCACGCCCCCCAGATGCTGCGCCTTGAGCGCCCTAATCACAGCCTTCGTATCGACAAGCCCTCCCCGAGAAGTGTTGATCAGCATCGCGCCAGGCTTCATCTTGGCAATCGCCTCCTCGTTGATGATCCTCCTCGTGCTATCCATCAAAGGACAGTGCAAGCTCACAACGTCCGACTCGCCAAGGACCTCATCCAGACCCTTGTACTCCCCAACCCCCTCAAACGCCGCCGCGGGAAACGGATCGTACGCCAAGATCCGACACCCAAACCCCTTCATGATCCTCGCCGTCGCAACCCCAATCTTGCCCGTGCCAATAAACCCAACCGTCTTCCCAAACAGCGTCCGCCCCATCAACCCGTCCAGCGCAAAGTTGCCCTCCCGCGCCCGGTTGTACGCGCGGTGCGTCTTTCGGTTCAGCGTCTGGATCAGCGCAACCGCAAACTCCGCCACGGCCTCTGGCGAATACGACGGCACGTTGGCGACCATGATGCCGGCCTTCTCAGCCGCCACGAGATCAACGTGGTTGAAGCCCGCGCACCGCAGCAGAATCGCCTTGACGCCCTCCTTCGCCAGCGCCTCGATCACGGGCGCCGAAAGGGTGTCGTTGACAAAGGCACAGATCGCATCCGCCCCCTTTGCAAGGATAACCGTGTCTTCCTCCAGCGCGAATTCGTGAAAGACAATCTCGATATCCGCCGACGCAGGACGAGTTGCAGCACCCGCAGCACCTCTAGCAGCCGCAGCGCTGCGAGCCGCCTCGATGTAGCGTTTGTCGTAAGGTTTGGAGCTAAACACCGCGAGCTTCATCTTTGCAAACTGTGATGTGAAATGGAAGAATTACGACATGTAAAGAAGAAGAGGAGGAGGACAAGTAAAGAGGAGTAACTGCGGACGTACGTGTTGGTACCACCTAAATAGCTTGGCAGTAGTGAGGAGATTTTGGGCATTCGTTCAATAAGGTTTCCCTCGTTCTGTGGCTGATGATTCGTGGATACGTTTGATGCATTCTAGCTGCATGCAATAGCGTGTGGTGCGAACTAACCTCGATTCCTCCATTAACAGTGCAGTTATGCTTTGATCGGCATGTGAATATGAACAAGCTCTCGCAGTGATGGGTTTGGGGACAAGTCTGCCAAGGTTCCATCATACGATTCACAGAAGCACAGATCACTGAGGTAACAATTCTCAGAGTTGGGCAGTCAACAGATTCAACAAAGCAAGGCAAACATCACAAACGTCAGCAATAGTATGGAAACTAATCGTCTCAGCTGTAGCCGTAGTTTTAACGCTTTCGTTACCAAGACTTCATGGGTATCCCCGAGTCCAAGTCGACATCAGCAGCATCACCTCTGCTACACCAACAAAAATCTACGAGTAGGTACTGTCACATGTTCAACGAGGCTCCGAATTTGCAACATATTTTCATTCTCATCGCCCGCATTACATCTCCTTTTCCCTATATCTGGCAATCCGTGCACTTGTGAGTCTCTCCTCGTCACCGAGACTACTTCCCCCGTAAGCATTTCCCAGGACAAAATCATATGACATTGCAAGCAAAGAGCGGTCCTTAGAACCCATAACCCCTTGGGTCCCATAAACTCGGCCTTCATAGCTCCAAAAAAAAGTCATACCAGTAATAATAATAAAAATGTAGTTTGTTTTGACTGCACATATGATAACACGGAATGCCGTTCTGCTTCTTGGTAGTTGAAATTTGCTGTTAGCAGCAGAATTCACTAATTGTGATCCTTCGGCAACTTATGGCCGGCCAAAGGCAGCACCTCGACCAGCGGCGCCCGGAGGCATGCCACGGGCTTCAAAGGGAGATCCACCAAAAGGCTCTGGCGGTCCGGGGGGTCCATTGAATCCACCGAGCCCAGGAGGCATGAACCCATGAGGTGGTCCGTTGAAGAAGCCAGGAGGAGGCGGAGGCATATTGCGTGGAGGCATGCCAGCCATTGCATCTGGAGGCGGCATGCCGCCGGGAGGGAAATTGGGAGGGAACATGTGAGGCATGGGAACGTTGCGGTTCAAGCCACCGGGCAATCCAGGAGGAGGCATCATGGGGCCTCGCTGCTGGGGTGGCGGTATCTGTCCTCCGCTGGTCATCCAGCTGGGAGGCATCTGGTCCAGCCCAGGAGGGGGCGGGGGTCGCTGCAAAATCTGAGTGGGCTGGCCGAGACGGGAATCCCGTTCGACGTTGTGGAAAGACTCTTCCATGGGAAAGCCGGGAGGCGGCTGTGGGCGCATCTGGCGTTGCTGTACTCCCCGATTCTCTCTTGGCGAGAAGTCCGACTCTTGCATCGGGATTGGCTTCTGCTGCTGAGGCTGGGGCATGCTCAGCGGAGCACTGGGCCCCATTCTCATGAGATTCATCAAAAACTCGGTGTTGTTGTTGTTGCGAGCCTGGTCAGGGATTCCTGAGCCCTGGCTAGAGAGACGCTGGTGCCCCGCGAGATCTTGGAGAAGTTGGTCTGGCCGAGCAGACTGTTGCTGCGGTCGAGGTGCAAGAATCTCTTGAACATGTTGCGGTGGTGGCGGGCGGCCGATGCCGCCGTTGATCCTATCGCCACCGTATTGTTGGAATGGCTCTGGTGATGCCAGGTTGCTCTTCTTCGCCATGTCCGGAAAGTTGCCCTGAGGTGGCGGGGCAGCAAATGGTGAGTGAGCCGGAGGAGTGGCGCTCATACTCTGCTTCTGAAGCTTCAACAGTAGCTGCTGGAAAGCCTGTTTTTCTTCTTCTTGAGGAGGAGGAACCATTCCTGCGAGTGGTCCCAGCCCCGGAGGAAAGTGAGAAGGCGCAGGCGGCACGCTCGTCGACTGTTCTACCCTGCCTCGCGGTTCTTCTTGGGGTTGGTGGAAGAAGGACGTGAACCTTGATGACTTGCCCACTGTCTTGGGCCTGGCGGCTGCATCGTTTACTTCGCTGGGTGGGGAGTTGGGCTCCAGAGGTCCCTGTGCTTGCATACCGCCAAAGGCAAGGAAGAATTTGTCAGGGGCAACCTCGACAGCAGTAGGTTGATGAGGTTGAAACCTCTCATTCTCGGCAGCAGCAGGTTCAGGAGCCGCAGCAGCTGCTGCTGCTGGGCGCTCTGGAGCATCACCGCCTCCTTTGCCTTTCTTCATCTGCTCCATCCACTTCTGGAAGTCTTGCTGGGTATGCGCTTCGCGGAGTGCCTCGGCAGGCTCGTCGAACCATTCGGGCTCACGCTCAACACGCTGCTCACGGTCGCGAGCCCATCGCCTGTCGGGTGCCCTGCCATTGGTACGGTCATCCGCAGTTTCAGTGGTATCTCGGTCTCTCCAGCTCTTGGTTCGGTCTCGCTCTTTTCGCTCGGCCGCGGGGGGCTCCGTCGGCATTGACTCTGCCTTGTGCCAAGAGTCCACTTTGCTCCTGCCAGCGCCGTTGCGCGCTCGAGGGTCATTTTCAGCTTCCTTATTGTCTCGACCAAAGGTATCAAAAGGCCTTGTTGGGCGGTCGCGAGTGGCATCGCGATCGTTTTCTCGCAGGGGCTTCTTCTCATCTCGAAAGTTGCCACCCATGCGGCCGTGGAAACGCTCGGCACCCTCAGCACCAAAGCTTTTGCGGGGCTTGACTGTGCTCCAGCCATCGCTATCTAGGTCGTTTTCTCCGCGGCGACGAACAGCATTGGGTGCGCGCAGGCGGTCTCCGTCGGCTTCGCTGTTTCGATTGCGCAAGGCGAACCGACCTGCGGGGTCAGCATCCTTGGTCGGTTTTTCACCATCAAGCGTCTTGTTACCTCGGCCAGACGAAGCAAACGCCATCCGAGGAGGAGCAAAGACAATGTCATCGGGATCTTGAAGAGTTACATTGTTAGCAACGGATAACTATCCACAGCACGAGTGTCTCAAGATGGAACCAACTTGTACTGGTCCGCGAGGTGTGGCTGATGCCTGGGCGGCGATTGTTCTGGTCAAGAAGCGGATTGTCCAGGGACCGAGGTCGATCGTTGACCGGTTTGTTCTGCGCTCGAGTCTGGTCTGGGGGTGCCCTGCGTCATGTCAACATCAGTACAAACAAAGCAAGCGCTGAAAGCCATTCAGCGGGCCTCGAGTTGTGCTCACCCCATCCATTCCTCCGCCGGAGGCAGTTTCTCAGGTTTGATGCATAGCGGCGACTCCCTCAGGAAGAGCAGATGCTCTGCGGTGTATCGAATGGCCATAGCAAGGCGGCGAATGCGCGACGCTCATCCGGCGAATGTCTCGACTATCTCGCTGGACAAAATGGTTGAACCCTTTAGCTAGTCGGCCGAGAGCCGGAAGGGGGGAGATTAGAGCCTAAGCGTCGACGAGGGTTATTGAGTAGCAGTAGTTCGATTTGGTGGGGTGATGTAACGTGCGTCAATGGACGAGCTCTGCAAAGGTCGCAAGTCGTGAATGCCGCACACGAGCAGATGCTTGACGGTCAAGGGAGCTTTTATAATTGTTGGGTGTAGGCAGTGACCATAAAGGACGCGTTGCAATTTCGAGGAGGGAGAGCCGACCACGGAGCTTGACAACAAGCAAAGCAGCTGGAGCCAACCGACCCAAAGGCAAGACGGGAGGAAGAGATTGAACGAGGAGAGGAAAAGTCTTTGCCGCAAAAAGAGGAACAAGAAGAAAACGACTTGGCAGAGAGTAGCACGAGAAGGGATGGAATACGAGAGGAGAAGAGGGAAAAGGGTCAATTATGAGTGTAGCTTCAGCCGTGCGTTGTGCGTGTGCGTGTGCGGTGCGTGCGCGGGGAAGGTTTGGGGCGGTCGGGCGGGAAAAAAAGAAGACGCTGGATCACGAGGATTGAGCGAGAGAGGCTGAGAGGTTGATTTTGGCGCGGGTGAGTATCGATATTCGGGACGGTTCGAGAGGGAGAGGAGATTTGAAAGGCGGTCGGTTGGGACGAGGTGGAAATTGGCGATGGTGATGGGGAGCAGATTGCGTTTTTGGTGGGGACCTGATTTGGGAGAAAGGACCAGACGGCATGGGAATTGTTCGGTACATGGAGGTAGCAGTAGCAGGATTACGGGAGGCGGCTAGCAGCGTCTTTCAGTGGCACGCCAGCCCTGAAGTTTCAGTGGAGGAGGGCGGGCAAGCGAGAGGCCGTCAGGCTGCCTGGCCTGGAGCTTTGAGGCCTAAAGTCGCTACGTCGCCGCTGTGGGAATGGAGAGGCAGCACGGCTGGAATTTGGTATGCAGGAATTGTGTGCATGGATGTTGGCACAAAGAGAGGGCTAAGTATGGAAAGTATCTTGAAAGCAAACAACAAAGAAAAGATGCTACAACGTTGTTTCATTCTTTGTTTGATTGGTGTTGGTTGTAGGCGCTTACCCACAGCTGAGGAGCAGAGTTTCAGTTGAGACTTAAAGAACTTCATCACGAGAGGACAACCTTCAACTTCATAGACTAATCAAAGAAGGTAAAATATTTGGAAAGCAAGACAAGATGTCGCTGTAATTCATTTCCATCATCGCCAACTCATAGTAATACCCAATATTCCAAACTTCAATCCAATATAAATCCCAGACATACCAAGCATCCATCCTAGGGTAAGGTAACCTCACCCTCACCCTCATCATCGACACCCATCCAATTAAAAAACAACCCTCCAATACATTGTACCCTCCACACTTTTTCCCCCCTCACACTCAACAACTCCAGCTAATAAACAAGACCCGGAGTTACACGAAAAACCCTCCCCCAATAGCCATCCTCCCAAACCACACACACACCCTCCAAACTTCGCCCACACAACTCTACACTCTCGCCACCACCGCCGGCACCTCCTCCTCCAGCGGCAAAATGTGCGGCAGCGGCCCGACAGGCGTGATGCTGAACGGGTTGATCTGCGTATGGCTGCGCGTGTAATGCCACTTGATGTGGTCGAACTGCGTCGTGTCCTTGAACGCCGGCAGGCTCCAGTACAGGTTGCGCATCCACCGGTGCAGGCGAGGATACCCGCTGCGAATGTCGCGGATGTTGCACTTGAAGTGCTGCACGTAGACGGGGTCGAAGCGCACCAGCGTCACGTACAGCCGGATGTCGGCCTCGGTGATGTCCTTGCCAAAGTAGTATGGCCCTTCGGTCTGCGAGGCGAGATGCTTCTCTGCGCGGTCGAGAGCCTCAAACAGGGCGACGACGGCCGTCTCGTAGGCTTGCGAGCTGGTGGCGAAGCCGGCCCTGTAGACGCCGTTGTTGATGAGGTCGTACGTCCACTCGTTGGTCTCTTCGATCTGGCTCTTGAGGCTCTCCGGGTAGAGGACAATGGAGCGGTACTTTTCTCCAATCAAGTCGTCAAACTCGGTTCCCAGCATCCGGATAATCTCGCTGCTCTCATTGTTGACAATCTGCTTCGTCTTCTTGTCATACAGCACCGGAACGGTAAATCGTCCAGTGTAGTCCTTGTTCGACTCAAAGTACACGTCCCGGATATGCGTAAAGCCCTCGTGAAGGGGATCGGGAATCACGTTCTCGCCGGGGACGTCGTTGTCCTCCTTGGTGGCAAATCGCCACCCCTTCTGCTCCAGATGCCAGTGCACCACGGAGAAGGAAATAATGTCCTCGAGACCCTTGAGTTTTCTGGCGATCAAGGTGCGGTGCGCCCATGGACAGGCGTAGCTGACGTAGAGATGATACCTCCCCTTTTCGGGAGGAAACTCGGCACCGGCCTCGCGAGAGATCCAGTTGCGGAACGAGCTGACTTGACGCTTGAACTCGCCGGATTTGTCGCCGGGCTTGACCCAGTCGGTGATTTTGCCCTCGTTGGAAGCCTGCAATTATTGAATACAAGTGTTAGGATTGATATTTGATTCAAGGGGAAAACAATCAAGAACCCACCATTCTGATTTGAATTGGAAACTGTAGTGGTAAAGCTCGTGTAATACTGTTTGTTTTTCGCAAACTTCCAAACCCAGTTGTACTACCACTAGACAACGTCGAATATGTCAATGCTTTCGCAAATTGCTTGTGATTATTGTTGATCAAAACCCCAAAAGATCTGGTTCTCAACTGCTGTTGAATTGCTCTCATTTAATGTCTGAATGCTTCCTCCTCACTCACCACTCGGGGAGCCACAAGGTCTATATATACGCAAAGCAACCCTTCCAAATATCCTCGACAACGCCAAGCGTCCCCCCTCTCAAGCCCACCTGCGAGATCCTTCAGCTTGACCCGTTAGCGTTCCAGCGGTTACGATGGCCTACGTGACTGTGTTCTGACTTAAGCATTGCTAAAGGTTCGGGCGTCGCTCCCACGTTACTAATTCGTCATTCCAAATCGCTCTTCGTCGGAACAAACTTAGCGCGCTTTCTAATTGTGACGTAACAGCGCCCACGAGCGTTAGCGCCTTCATCACTCAGCCAATTTGCGTCTTTAGTCATCACGACAATTGCCTTGCTGCCCCCTGCTATTCAAGGAACAGAGTGTTGAGTGCCCAAAGGATATGGATATGGATATACTGGAAGCATTAGAGTGGGACTGATATATCCACAAAGGCTTTCATTTCTGTTCCAAATATCTACTAATTGTAGTGACTACTTATGAACCGTGCCGAGTCTATGTAATTCCAAAAATAATAATAATCAAATATTTACCTTAATGTACGGAACCTCCACGTCCTCTTCGTCCAAATCTTCAGCCACCATCTCAAAGATCAGCTCCTTCTGGTGAGAAGGAATGGGCTTCTTGGAAATGGTCTCTACCAGCTCGCTGAGCTTGAGTGCGTAGCGGTCCTTGAGCTTGGACGGCGGGAAGAAGCTTGCATACAGCAGGCTGACGCCAGAGCTGAGCATGCTGATGCTGAGACCCTTCTTCTCAAAGTAGTCGAGAAGCTCCTTGAGCGTAATGTTTTCGACCTCGAACCGGTCCCAAATCTTGTCCAGCTTGACCTTGCCATCAGGGCCCTTGTATTCAACCTTGGGACTAGCAATGGGCTCGCCGAATCCAAAGAATGGCAGAGCCAGGTTGATGAAGCCGTTCTTGTACTGCTCGATGTCATCCTTGCCGTCTACGATCTTGTAGAGCTCAAGGACAACCAAGCCCGTAACGAGGGCCGTTGTCGTGGCGATGGCGGGGATGATCTTGCCCGCGATAAACTTGGTCTTGTGTCTGTCGGCAGGCTCGATCTTGTAGTTCTCGGCCCTCAGGTTGCTACAGGCAGTGATGAAGTCAATGTGGTGGTTGGTGTCGTCGTCCTTTTCGAACTCGACAGGCTGCAGCTGGAAGCCCGCAAGAGTGCTTGCCGACGGGAGGCTGGCAGAGAGGTTTGTGAGCTCATCCGTGTCATCAAAGCTGCTGGCGTTGGGATCCTAAAATTAGAGTTAGTACTACTGAGATATAAAATAATTGGGCTTTAAGAAGGGAGCGGGCTTACGGGTTCCTTGTCATCGGCCTGGATCTTGACGTTTGAGTCAGGGGTGAAGTCAGGCACAATGACATTCTCCAGCTCCTTCAAGTAAATGGACTTGTCGGTGCCAGGCGACTTGATGTTAAAGTTGAATGCATGAAGGTTCGCGGCAGCCACGATAAATCCAAAGTGAGTCGCGTTGTTGGGGTCGAACTTGAGAGCATCTGGAGCTCTCTTCGGGCCAGACCAGAAGGGAGTGCCACCAGAGGTCACCGAGTCCTTGGGGAAGTTGTACAAGAGCTGCTGGACCTTGTTTGCAAACTCCGTCTCGAAGAGGAGACGAGCCCAGGCAATGCAGTCCTCAAAGGTCCGGGGCCGCTCGGTGGTAAGGTAGTTGCGGATCGTTTCCAGGGTTTCCTTCTGGTTGCCGCCTTGCTTCAGAGTGGCCTCAATGAAGTTGGGCTGAGTCAGGTAAAGGTTCACAGTCTGGGGAGCTTTGACAAAGCACTTCTCAAACATGTACTCCTTGGCCCAGGCAATGGTATGGTCAATCTTGTTGGGAAAGCTTCGGATCGTGCACATGGGGAACTCCTTCTCGGGGGGATCTTGGGAAGAAGAGTAAGACTCTGTCAAGTGGGGCAGGACAACTTGGGTGTTGCCCTTGGTGCCCAGAGTTCCGCTCTCGAGCAGCGGCTTTCGGAAGAAGACGCATCTTCGGTCAACGTAGGTTCTCGCTTCGACATTGTCCAGAGCGTTGGTGACTCCATCCAGGCTACGCCAGAACTCCTCATTGAAGACATGCTCGGTCTCGGGACTAACGCGCTCTCGCAAAGACTCAATGTGGCCTTCCAGCTCTGGGTTCATTCGCTGCACGGCCCTGGCAGCGCAGTCGCTCTTCATGCTGCCGACATCAGCGGCTCGGAAAAGGAACTGTCGGTTGAGGTTGCTCTTTTCGATGGAGTCCATGTCGGTAACGTAAATCTTGCCCTTGGGTCCTGTGCCCAAGCCAATCATGGCCCAGTTCTTTAGCATCTCACAACCAATAGCACCGGCGCCAACGAGGAATTGCTTGAGATTGGCAATCTTGTCCTGATACTCGGTTCCAAAGACAGCAATCTGCCCATCATAACGGCTACCGATGGGCTTGCACAGCTCGGGGCTTCGCTTGGTAGAAGTAGGGAGAGACTCGAGCGAATCAAAGTACATCCATTGTTGGATGGGGTTGAACTTGCCGGACACAGCCTTGAGAACCTCCTGAGCAGCGATACCGCCAAAGAGTGCTGCCATGGGGCTGAGGTCACCAAGAGCCTGGAAACTCAACTCTTTCAAGAGCTTCTCGTCAATATCGATCTCGAGTTTCTCATCGGCAGCAAACGTCTTGGCGGCCTCGAGAACGACAATGGCGTCTTTCTCGTCCATGGGGTTGGGGAGTCGTCCATTGGCGACTTGGAATGCATGGAGGGCCTGGAATCCAAGATGAAGCTGCTGGGGTCGGTCGAACTTGGCGTAGTCGGAAATAAGGAACTCTGGCTCCTTGAGGGCGGCTGTGAAGCTCTTGAAATCGACGACCTTGGGCATCTTTACCTGCTGGTAAGTTCCTCCACGCTGGTACTGTCCGAGGCCTGACACATCGCCAATGGAGAAGGTGTACGGACCCTTGACCGTAATCTTACGCGGCTCGCATCCGTTCAACGCTTCCATGCCCTCAACCTCGGAAAATGTGACGTAGTCGCCATCTTCTAAACCGTGACGAGTCTCATCGAGTGCCGACACCAGACCCTCTTCGTCGATGCCAGCAACGATACCGCTCAAAGCGGCCTCGCCGTTCTGATCGATAATGGTAAACTTATCGCCAAAATCACAGAAGATGGAGCCGAACAGGCCGAATGTGTCGACGATGACAACGTAGATGCCCTTGGAGTGGCAGTAGTCGCCTACGGCCTTTTGTGTCGAGATGGGCGCATTGGTCAGCACCACAACCTGATACTTGTCGAATTGGGCGAAGTTGTCCTCGATGCTACAACCTGTGGTTAGTAATACTCCCGTGAAAACGAAATGCGAGAATTTGGTGGCCATACCTGGGAGACTGGTGAACCTTGACGGGGGTATAAGCGTTGAGCTCTGCGACACGCGGGGCCGTCACTTCATCTCTGGGCTTGCCAACATCCTTGGGGGTCAAGAAGAACTGGGCTGAGAGATCGGCAATCTGGACCGGGGCAGGGTCGTAGACGGTCAAGCTCTTGACACCGGCCAAGGCAATGTTCTTGGCAATCTCGACACCGAGACCCTTGAGACCAACGACGAGGACGTTGGAGGCGCCCATGCGGCGCATGGCCTCGTGTCCTAAGACATAGAGCTGTCGGCTGTATAGAGACTCGTCGATATCTGTAGTTCCGACGACGGAGTCATCGACTTGCATGCGGGTTGCAAGATCGACCTCGGGAAGCTTGGCGGCCTGTTGGTTGGAAGCGGACGGTCAGTTTCAGTCTCGCGTATCCCACGGAGGGGGCCACCGATCAACCTACAGCCATGGTTCTCTTGAGGTTCTGTTGAGACTCCCCTTCAGAGAGCCTTCGCTTCGCCAGCGCTCCGGGGCTGGGCTGTGACGAAATCTTGGATATGGTGATCCAGCACCTAGGTCGAGCGTGACCTCACCCAGATGCTGCTGATAAAGAGGGGTGACGGTGGCTAGAGAAGAAGCCTGCTGCGTGTCTGGCGGGTGCGGGAGAAGAGTCGTTTGGCTTGGTGGAAGACGGCGGTGATTCTCTTGTCGGCAAAGGACAAGAAGAAGAGCTTTGGAAGAGAACAAGTTGGTTTGTAATGAGCAGGATTCAGAAGCAAAGCGTTGGTTGGCCTGCACTGGACATGACAGGGCTCCAGTTCTTTCTGATGAGGTAATGTGGCTAATCGTGCCACTGTAATATAGGTACTGTGCCGCTGTTGCGTTGCCCAGCTGCTGACAGATGGTACAAGGTACAAGCACGAGGAACTTGGGTACAAGGCAGAAGTACCGAGAAGAGGGGCAGCAAAAGCTGAGGCAAAGCGGGCGGGGCAGCGAGGCGGGGCATAGCGGCTGTGATTGGCCAGGACGGCCAGCTCTTAGAAATAGCTCGAGGTACCTGCTTTGGAACCGGTCAGAGCGCCATGGAAGCCCGAGCTTTTTTTTCTCAGGGACGGACCGGATGGATAGCTTCAACGGTGTTGATACAGGGAAGAGTATAGGGGAAGAGTTGAGATTTACGGTGCATCGTTGAACTGAATGGCGACAATTTGGTGGACCGGTGTACACGCTTCCGATGGATCCGGCTGCTTAACAGTATAGAGGACTGTGTTTATGGCACTGTTGCATCACTGAAGCTTCCGTTGTCGGCTGGAGATGACAGGATGAGTAGGGACGCTGGGATGGGTGATACCGTCAGTATCTAGATTCTAAGCAGGTTCGCAGATACTTGACATTTATCATAGGTAGGCACTGATGTATCTGCGCGGGCGTACTGAGCTGCAGGATGCTTGAACACGACATCAAGTCACGGGAAATGAATGGCACAAAGATGCATCTTCAAAGAAGAGCACAAGACAATCTTGAATCTCTACAACTATCCTGTGTTTGACTATCCAAAAAAATGGTTCTTTCCAAAATTATACTCTTTTAGTGTCGCAATTCATAGACGCATCGCCAATTTATCCGTTGAACGGGATGATTCGCTTCAGATGGACGTCGCTACCGATAATGTCAGTTGTCGTGTTTGGTTTGTACAAAGCACTACCCAATTCGACTTACAAGATGAGGTCCGAGTTGGCAGGGATAACGCCGGGAATAGACCTGGAAGAATGTTAGCATGCTCATGCAATCTTCATTCCGTTGAACCAAGTTCATCATTGGGCGAGCCAATTCCCCTAGATTCGATTCTTGAATGCCGTAGTAAAAGTTTGATCGGCTTACCTGCTACCATAAGCGAGGTGGCTATTACGAACCATGTTAGTAAGACGCCCAGACATTGAATACGAAGTGAAGCTGTGTGCGCATACCTGGGAATATCGAGTCTAGCCTTCTCGCCGAGCTTCATGGTAACAACACCCTTGTCCCAACCTGCGCAAGATGATCAATACGAGACCTGCGCGGAATCACAGGATAAACCGTACCCTTGATGACTTGGCCAACACCAATCTGGGTGCTAAAGCCCTCGCCCGGTCGGTCGTAAGAAGAGTCGAATCTAATATCGTACATAGGTAAGTAAAGACACCAACAAACAGAACAGTGTATGGCACTGCCGCTCACTTCTTCCCCTTGTTGTCCGGCTGGGAGGTGTCCTTCAGCCAGCCGGTATAGCCCATGATGACGGTGTCCCTCGCCTTGGGCTGGTCGCCGGAGCCCTCTTCGAGGATGGTCTTGGTGGGTTCGGAGGCCATTGTAACTTAAGAATGAGATGAAAACGATGTTGTAAAATGCTGGTCAAGTTTCGGCTAGCAAGGAGAGAAGGGGGGGAGCTCTGTAGCTTTATGTCCGCAAATAAATTGACCCCCTCCATCGGAAACTGGCAAGGAGGTATTTCGGCGGGGTAAAAGACGAGTCCTTCTTACGAGCTGATCCACGATGACGACTTTGGCGCAAGGATGGGAGGGGAGCAGTGCCACGTTGCTATCCCTAAACTGTAATACGCAAGTCCTGCTGTCCAGTTACCTCTCGCATCCACAGAGGATTGCTGCTTGCGAATATGCCCCGCCCAAGTCTCTGCGTATGGTAGGCATGCTAGGCGGAAGCTTCATCAGCCGCATGTGTGTGTGCCTGCTTCTGGATTAGAGCTTCGGGTCGGTGATGTGATATGCGCTAGGCCAAGGCCCGCGGCGAGGCGTCCAGAACGTTCACCGGCATTTTGGACGGGTCGACGCCTATGAGGAGCAGCCGTCCGAGGCGAGATCCAAGAGCAAGGAGAGAGGCCGCGACATCGATATCCGATGCTGAGATTCTGAACGCGGGTGGCAGCCAGAGCATGTTGCGCGAGTCCCACGTAATCCATTCCCCGTCTTTGCTGAGACCAAGTCCAATCGTAGTTACCGCTCTTTGGCTGCTGAAGGATGGCCTTGCATGAACACCAGTACTCGTACTCGTAGCAGCTGAGCCAGGCGGGTCAAATTCAAGGGCGCCCACATTGGTGAGTAGTCGTACTCGTAGGCTGGATCCGGCAGATGGTTCGAATGCCATGTGGTTGGCAAGCCCGCAAATCCCAACGAGCTTGTCGACGCAGTGTCCTGTTGCGACACTCAGAATCTCAACCTTGATTTCCCCAGCTTCGTAGAGAACGACGAGATGTTGTTCATCAGGAGAGAAGAGCATTTTGCTTACTTCGCTTGTAGTGTCGGATGCTGAAGTATAGTTGGCGATGCATGTCAGGGTGTCTTCATCCCAAATCTTGAGACTTGCCGTTGCGTAAGAAGCAAGCTTGGATCCGCTTCCCGACATTGTAACAATCCTCACGGGACTATCATGTGCCTCGTTCATTTCCTTGCAGTTTCTAGTTGAAAGATGGAGCAACCGCACCATTCCATCATCGCAGGCAAGAACAAGTTGGGTTCCATCTGCTGTGTAGATTGACGAAAGTATGTTGCAGGTTTCCCCTCCAAATGAACAAACAAGTTTCTGCGTCGCCATGTCCCAGCAGCTCAAAACACCATCACGGGTCGTTGATACTATATGTGTACCGTCAGGCGAAAATGCAATGGATAGAATAGAGTCCATGGATTCGTGAGGTATCAACCGGAAGTCGCCGTTTGCCGCATCCCAGAGTTTGACATTGGGAGCTTCCGAACTCTCGGTTGAAGATATAATTGTCGAGCTGTCCGCCGAAAATTTGACCGATCTTGGCCAACCAAAGAGTCCATGAGAACTCATAACATGATCGAATGGGGCTGTAGGAGTATCCTGAGGAACCATCAAGGGCACCTGTGCAAAAATTCGGTGGTCTGTGCCCGTCAACAGACACTTGCTCGTAGCGGAGTCCCATAGTCTCACTGTGCGGTCTCCAGATGTGGTTATAATCTTCTTCTTGTCTGGAGAAAAGATAACTTCGAGGACTGCCCCCTTATGGCTTTCGACCTCGGCACTGCCATGGCTTTCAATCTCCGCTGATTGTATTGTAATATTAGCATCCCAGACTTTGAAGGTTCCGTCCATATCTGCCGATATGAGTAGCTTTTCATCAGCTAAATAAGCGAGGCTGGTAATGCATTCGGCGTGGCCATCGTATATCCCAATACAAGTCATCGTATGCGTATTCCATATTCTTATGCTTTTATCATATGAAGCTGAGGCAATCGTGCTTTCGTCCTTTGATAGGACGATGTCCGATATGGCAGCGCGATGGCCCTCTAAAACAGAATCGCAATTGGCTTTCAAAACATTCCAGATACCGATTCTATGTCCCTTCTCGACATCTTCTTTCACAGCACTAATAAGTCGGGTGCCGCCAGAGAAGAAGAGCAGACATTTGTCAAAAAGGGCACAGGCTCCTTCAGCTACTAGGCAATTGCCTGAAAGCCTATCTAGGAATCTGATTGTACCACCTATATCAACAGACACGAGTTTTTGGCTGTCTGGAGAAAAAACGACAGCTTTAACACGTTCTTTGTGGTCGTCGATCGCCAACATATGGCCGCTTACCTTTGAACGAAGAAGCCGAATAGTATTGTGGTTCGAAATCGTCAGAAATGTCAATCCATCCGGAGAAAACCCCACCATCTGATCAGTGTGCTCATGATCGTGGATTGAGACGGACTTGCCAGATACTCTGTCCCATATTATTAAAGTCCCGTCTTCTGAGGCCGAGGCAAACTGCTTGCCATCCGCCGAGAACATGGCATGAGCAATCTTGCCAGTGTGGCCCCTATATTCCGCAATGCAGCTTCTTGTTGAGGCGTTCATGATTCGGAGCCCTTCGCGCCCAGAAATATATAATATTTCTACACCATCAGATGACGCCCAAGCAGAGTTGGGCAAAGCATCATCGTGTGTTGCAACACAGGATGCTATTCCTGCATCCCAAATTTTGAGTTGGCCTCCAAGCCCGGGAAGGGAAAGAAATCTATTCCCGACGGAAATTGCCAAAAGAACAACGCTTGCCCTACTCCGGTCTTGAAATGTAGCCAAGCAAGGATCCCAGTGAGACTGCATTGTTGGTAAGGTATGGAGCCATGGTGGGATGCTCGATTTAAACATGTATTTGACAACACTTCTCTCAGGAGCAAATATTAAAGCAGAAGAGTATATTTGGAGCGGCGCTTTATCGAATGTCGTCACGTTCGCCTGAATGAATCGCTTTGCGTCTCGTAAAAGACCTCCGATGGCTTGTGTATTCGTTGCCTTTAGATTCTCAGTCAGTTATGGCTATAATTGTGATATGAATCAAAGTGTTACTCACCTCAAGCTTCTGTAGCAAATTATCCATCATGTGAATGCTCTCTGTAATCCGTCCCATGAGGGTGAGTGCTTCAAGCCAATTAAGTAAGTAGCTTGCTAAGAATTTGTGTGTTTGGTCATTGTCACAAATGCCTCGGCTGCTTAGGCTCAAATGATACACCCAGTAAATGCAAGCATATTGGACTGCGCCTGGCAAACGCTCATCAATAACATTTTGCTTTATCTCTGATCTCAATGTCCCTGGACTTTTAAGAAAGCAGATATCTTCTTTGAGAACACTGCCTGTGTACAGTAAGTCGACGCATTGAGAGAATAAATTTGAATGAGCTTCTGGTTCATCTATCGCAAAAGGAAATTTGCTGATATTGTGATTCTTTTGGGGGTCGACTAGAAAGTCCCGGAAAGAAAGGTGTAGTAGTCTCACTGGGGTGTCTAAGTCAGTAGGAACATCAAGTACTGAGTGTAACAGATCGAGTTGATCTTCGATGACATCTGTAGAAACTCCCAGGAGATCGGCGATGCTTCGTATAGACAAAGGCTGAGCAAGGGTAACTATTGAACCGATTAAGTACCGGAATCTAGTCAGTACTTCAACCCTAGCAGACGGAGGAAGATTAACAATAAGGTTGTCCAAGATTGGAAGATACGTCATATCAAGACCAGATATCTGTATCTTTTGATACTCGAGAATCTTGCTTAATTGATGATGAGGGCCTCCTAATCTTCTATCTCTCAAGAAGCGGCATATCGTTGCGGCAACAATAAATAACGGGACGGCTGAATCGACAAGTTGTTGCACTACATCCTCGCCGGGCCATTGAGTAGAGATTTTGCGATGACTTGAGACGGATTTGTTGTAGTCCGCTTTGATTGCGTCGAGCTGATATCTCATAAAAAGCCCTATATCATGCTCAATAGTGGCCTTTGACACTGTCGCGAGAAGCAGATGGTCATATTTCCCACCAATCTCCTCAAATCCGAGGCGGATGGGCAGTTCAGGTCTGCTTGTGAGGAAAAACTTTAGCCGTGGGTTATTTCTCTGTTGAGCTTTTGAGAGAATGCTGATTAGAGTCCTCATAGTCCCTTCATTGTCGCACTCATCAAGAGCGTCGACCACAATAAGCAAATTTGAAGACCAACATCCTGGATTCTTCTTCAGTGGATCCAAAATGAGTTTTTGAAATTGATCGTCTAGAGGCTTCTCGTGTATTTCAGGTTCGCGGTCAAGAACTTCACGGATTCGTGGAGCGAAAGAAGGAATCCGACGGACCAACTGGGCAGCGATTGTAGTTATGGAGGTTATATTTATTATCAAGAGGTTCAGTAAAGCTGCAACAGCTAGGTCAGAGGAAGGCTACGCCCCAGCCTTTGGTTCAAAATCCAG